TCCCCTGGAACTGGAGTTACGGGCAGTTGTTAGCTGCCATGTGGGTGCTGGGATTCGAACCCGGGTCTTCTGTAAGAACAGCTAGTGTTCCTAACCACTGAGCCATCTCTCCAACCCCCAAATTATTTATTTTTAAAATTACTTATTTTTAAATTATTTTTATTATTTTATGTCTATGAGTACTATGCCTGCATGTGTGTAAGTGCACCTGTGTTGTGCAATGCCCATGGAGGACAGAAGAAAGCGTCAGATCCCCCTGGAACTGGAGTTATGGACGATTGTTAGCTGCCATATGGGTGCTGGGATTTGAACCTGGGGACTGGCAAGAGCAGCCAGTGAGTAGTTCTTAACTGCTGAGTCATCTCTCCAGCCCCAGTCACAGGCTTTCTTAATTTAATGAGATTCTTCTTTTGATAAAGAGTCACCTGAGTATTTTGAGAGATTTCATGTCTTTGCAGTGAACACAGGGTTAAAATGAGCGCCCATGACAGGGAGGTACTGGGGCGTGAGTTGACATTATTGGTCCATATCCATTTCAGAATCATGTGAACCCAAACACTGAAGACTCAAAGCACGTTTATGAAGACAGCGTTTCTTACTGAACACAAGAAGTATCCATCTGAAAGAAAGTAGGGTCCAAAAACAGCTCCAGCACCTCCTTCTTCCATGCTCGCTTGGTGTAGGCATAGCCGCTCAAAGAGCTCAGCAGCTGGGTGCTGGCCCGGAAGCTGGGGGCGTTGTAGGCACTGTGGGAACAGAGGAGTCAAGGTCAAAGACCATCCGAGGAAGACCAGCTGCCTCATTTCTCAAAACGTGATTTCTGTATGTGGGTGAGATGGAGACCACGTGACCTGTGATTGCGCAGGTAAGGAAAAACGTAGTAGAGCAGGCGGGAGATCAACGGCACCGCTTTCTCTTTCTCGTCACTTCGATAAACCATGTCCAGGAGAGAAGCCAGAACCTAAAAGAATGAGACCCTTAAGAAAACAGGGTTCTGCTGGAGTGGTGAGCGGGGGCGCCCTGAAGCATAATGCAGCAAGAAAGGCCCGTGCAGCTCGAGGTCTGCTCTGGTTCATCTGGGGTGTCTCCCAAAGGCCAGTGTGCTTAAGACTTGGTTGCCAGATATGGCACTACAGGGCGAGGGTAGAAACTCCAGGAGATCTGGAGGAAACAGGTCACTGACAGTGCTGTGACCTTGTCCCCTCTTGCTTCCTGGACATCATGAGGTGAGTGCCTCTGCTCTACCTCCTGCTCCCCAAAACGAGGCTCTGCCTTCCCAGAGGCACAAAGCAACAGCCAACCAATTGTGCACTGAAATCTCTAAAACCATACGCCAAACTTTCCTACTTTCAAACTGAATTTCCCTGGGGCTGGAGAGACAGTTCAGTGGTTAAGAGCACTGGCTGCTCTTGCAGAGGACCTGGGTATGGTTCCCAGCACCCACATGGCAGCTAACAACCATCCGTAACTCCAGTTCCAGGGGATCTGATGCCCTATTCTGGCCTCTTCGGGCACTGCAGGACATGGGTGCACTTATAGACCTGTAAGCACATTCATACACAAAAAATAAATCAATTTTGTTTGTTTGTTTTTGAGTCAGGATCCCCCTGTATCCCCAGGTGGCCTGGAACTCACCATGTAGACCAAGCTGGCCTCAATTTCAGAGAGATCCACCTGTCTCTGCCTCCCAAGTACTGGGACTGGGATCAAAGGCGTGTGCCGCCATGCCTTCCAATAAATAATTTATTTTAAAAAAAGTTTATTATTTTTATTTATTTTTTATGTGCATGAGTGTATTGCCTGCATGTATGTGAGTACACCCGTGTCGTGCATTGCCGAGGAGGTCAGAAGAGGGCTTTGGATTCCCCTGCAACTGGAGTTAAGGATGGTCCATAGCTGCCATGTGGGTGCTGGGAATTGAACCCAAGTCCTCTGCAAGAAGCACCCAACGCTCTTAACTGCTGAGCCATCTCTCCAGCCCCTATTTTTTATTCTTAAATTGAATTTTCCAGGTATTTTGCCACGGCAACGGGAAGCAAACTAACACAAGGTCCAGACTTCAGAACTCACCTAGGAGGCAGCCCCCACACACTGGCATCCAGAATGAACACATGCCTTCATAATGAGTCAAGACAGCAAGCACTTCCATGAGGGACCACAAGTCAGGTGTGTATTTACCTCTGCCAAGAGAGAGAGGGCTTGCACACTGTAAACAGAGGGGGCGGACGCAGACACCATGGCTGAGGAGGCAGCAGCATCTGCTGACAGAAAGAGGCACTTGTTTAGCTACGAGGGGTGAGTGACTGCTGCCCTAGAGCCCAGGAAGCTGAGTCATGAGCTCTCACCTCTCAGGCTGCAGATACATAAATTTTAGGCACTAGAATGTAGACATTTGTATCAAATGAATTAGCACTGGCTCATTACCTCCAAATCTTCTTGATGACCTATCTAATGTTCTGGTCTCTAAACCCTCAAATCTATCTTCTGCCACTAACTGTTCCTATCGCACTGCTGATCTCACTACGTGTGAGCATGCTTGAACATTTCCTGCTTTGTCCAGCCTCTGTCCCTGAGTCATGTGCCGTCAGTACTCAGGAGCTCCTGGGCCGTCCTTTACCTATGCTCTTACATCCTGGCTTCTCACCTGCTTGGCAAACACCCTGAACTCTTGTACTCTTTTCCTCTGGAAAGTGTAATGCTGGCTAACCCCAATGAGCTTCCGCAGCCGGTGGATTATGGCCTGTCTCCTCTGAAACGCATGTTTGGATCTCCCTGCTCTTGTGGTAGCTTTGGGAGGGGGGCTTTTAAAGGTGATTAGGTTGTTGTTGTTGCTGGGCATGATGGCTCACGCCTTTAATCCCAGCATTTGGGAGGCAGAGGTAGGTGGATCTCTGTGAGTTCAAGGCCAGCCTGGTCTCCAAGACAGCTGGGGCTACAGGGAGACCCTGTCTCAAAAAGACCAAAAAAAAAAAAAAGGTGACTAGGTTGTTATGAGGAATAAATGCCTTTTTCTTGACTGGGACTGGACTGGTTACCATGAGAATGGGCTGTAAAAGAGCAAGGGTAAGCTGGACTGGAGAAAGAACTCAGTGACAGAGTACTTGCCTAGCATACAAGAGGTCTGAGGTTCAACCAGAACCGTAAAAACGAAACAGTCAGGCATGGTGGCACACGCCTGTAATCCCAGCACTAAGAGGCAGAGAAGCAGGAGGATCAGGAGTTCAAAGGCCTCTCACTGTCTGTGAATTTGAGGCCAGCTGGATGATGCGATGCCCTGCATTAGTTGCTTTTCTCTTGCTGAGATAAAACGCCATGACCAAGGCAACTTATAGAAGGAAGAGTTTATTTGGACTCATGGTTTTGGGGAGTTAAAAGTCCGTAACAGTGGGGGAAGCATGGCAGCAGGTTGCTGGGGTAGGAAGCTGAGAGCTCACATGTTCAAGCATATGCAGGAGGCAGACAGGGCAGAGCTGGGAGTGGACAAACCTATGAACTCTCAAACCCACCCCTGTGATGTGCTTCTTCCAGCTGGAACACACCTCCTGAAGGTTCCAGGACCCTCCCAAAACAGTGCCACCAACCGACCACATGTTCAAACACTTGAGTGTATGGGGGACATTCTCATTCAAGCCACCACAAACCCCGTCTCAAAACAAACCAAACTCTAAAACCAAACCAAACACCAAAACAAGCAAGTCAGCAAAGCAGAGAGCGAATTTCCGAGTCCTCTTCTGGTTAGTTGCTATCCTGATGAAAACCAAGCTTCAAAGGGTTCTCAGCATCAGTCTCTACCCTCACCTCCTATCCTCTTCTGTCCGCCCCATCAAACGGCCCTCTCACCAGCATCCTAACCCCTGGCACTCAGGCTTCCAGTCCAGTGGATCCTGCCTTATCTGACTCCTGCTCCACAGCCTTTCAGGTACTCTCACGCACTTGGAGGCACTGCCTCCTAGACTCCAGGATGTGCTACCCTGCTTTTCCTAGCAAGTGACTGCTTGCTCATCGGTGCCAGTTTTCTCTTTTCCTGACATCTCAGATTTAAGATGTGTAACATAACTCAGCTTCCCCCAACATGTCCGTCCTCCAGTCTTCTCCACCTCAGGAAATTGTTTAACCCCCAAATCATCTAAATTTATTTATCTGTCTATGTGTATCAGTACTTTGCCATAGGTGTGCAATGCCCACAAAGGCCACAAGAGGGCGTCAGATCCCTTGGAATGGGAGTTAGAACTGTTATTAGCCACCATGTGGGTGCTAAGAACCAAACCTGGGTACTCTGCAAGAGCAGCCAGTGCTCTTAATCACTGAACCATCTTCCAGCTCTCATCAAATCATCTAAATCACCCTTCATTGAATCCCCAACCTATTGTCATCTTGCTCTCCCTGAGCTTAGATCTTGCCTCTCAATCAGCCTTGCCACCCAACCAGTATCATTTGGGAAGGTTTGAGATGGGTCTCACTATGTAGCTCTGCGTGATCTAGAACTTGTTTATGTAATCCAGGTTGGCTGTAAACTCACAGAGATCTGCCTGCCTCTGCCTCCCAATGCTAGGACTAAAGGGGTGTGCCACCACTCCCGCCCAGCCCAGTATCATTTACAAACCACTCAGAAATCCATTTAATGGCACTTCCAGGTTCTGCCCTTCCACAATACAGTCAGTATTACTCACAAAGTTAAATTGATGTTTTCTGAAGATTAAGTATAATTACATGACTGCTCTGCATAATTTGACAGCATGAGATTTCAGAGCCTTCCAAGGGCTCTACACCAAGCTTGACAACCTTCAGTCGCATCCTCCCCTCCAGCTTGTCATTAATCAAGTGTCTCAAAGCCTGTGCCTCCTCTACCTCTAGGACTTGCAGGGAGTATAGCGCTCCCCTGACCTGTGCTGTGCCTTCCTGGCTCTCAGGACAACTGCTGCTCCCTGGGACTAGCTCTGTCACATCTGAAGGCCTGGCCCAGCCTAGTCACTCCCTATCACATCATTCTTATGCTCTCACAGTTCTAAACCACCTGCAATTCTTATATAAGCAGCTACATAGTGAGTTTTGAGGCTGGCCTGGGTTATTTTTTTATTTTGAAATCATTTTCAGAAGGGTTACAAAGGGGGTAATTCCCTTCTTGATTATCACTTCTCCCAAGCCCAGTGAGAGTACCACCCAAGTCTGAACAGAGCACAGCACCTACTGGGCATTTCTTTCACAACTCTGAACTTCAGAACCCTTATATCTGCTACAACACAAACACCTGAAATGGAGGAAAACCATAATGTTGAGCCTCACTCTGCACAGGGCTTGTACAGCCAACACGTACACTTGACTTTATTAACCTGAAAAACAAATGCAATTAGGAGGCAGACACCACTGTGTGGCACTCTGAAACTTGTAATTAAGCCTTATTGAGAAACTGAGAAATCACTTCCAGCCTCTCATTTCTATGTTTTGTAGGAACTAAAAGGAGCCAGGTGAGAATTTTACCACAATATTGTCTTCAGGTTAAATTTAATTATTGTACAAAAAAAGGTGTGGTAACACCTGGAAAAAAACAACTCAGCTACAGCAAGTGGGAGCCACCATTTAGAAATGGCCTCAGGCAAATCAGCACAGTGAGGCAAGAGTATGTTCCCTACGGCCTCTTCTGACCTCCAAGGCATTGCATGACATGGGTGCACTCACATACATGCAGGCAATACACTCATACACATAAATAAAAATAAAATATTTAAAAAACTTATAGTAGCCATACAGGGTTTCAAATTTATATTCTTTTTCAAAAATGTGTATGAGTGTTATGCCTGCATGTGTTTAAGTACACTCATGTTGTACAATGCTGTCTTAGTTTGTTCTTCATTGCTGTGACAAAACACTCTGACCAGTACCAACTTGGGGAGGAAAGAGTTTATTTGTCTTACATCTCCCAGGTCGCACACAGTTCATCAGGGAGCCCAAGGTAGGAACTCAGGGCAGGAACTTGGAGGCTGGAGCACAGGCCATGGAGGAACGCTGCTTACAGGCTTGCTTTCCTGGCCCCTGCTCAGCCTGCTTTCTTATGCAACACAGGCCCACCTGCCCAGGGGTGGCACCACCCACAGTGGGCTGGGCCCTCCCACATCACTCATCAAGAAGATGCCCTTCAGACATGGCCACAGGCCAGTCCAATAGAGGCAATTCCCCCACTGAGGCTCCCTCAACCCAGGTGTGTCAAGTTGACACTAAAGCTATCCAGCACAAATGCCCACAGAGGTCAGAAGAGGGCTTGGAGTTACAGATGGTTGTTAGCTGCCATGTGGGTGCTAGGAATCGAACCCAGGTGCTCTTCAAGAACAGCCAGTGCTCTTAGCCACTGAGCCATCTCTCTAGTCCCTCAAATTTATATTCGAAGATATAATTCCATTTTTTATTGTGAGGATTATATCAGTTTAGTTATTATAGTATTCTCTATTTCTTTGTTTTATTAACTTCCCAGACTGGTTTTTATCTCCAAAGTTCAATTAGGGCATAGGTGAAGGCACACTGGGGCTGTAGAAGAGTGATAGAAAAATAATGGGTGCCTGGCTAATGGGATAGGTCCAACATCAAGGCCTGGATACCCAGGACCTCCTGTGGAGTGAGGACCACAGCTGGGCCTCAGGGGAGGTGGGAGCCCCGTTCCAGAGATTCAGTCCTCCCAAGACCAGGACCTACAAATAACAGAGGCCTCCCCTGCCCCCAGCATAAGAGGCAAAGCCTCTGCCATACGCAACCTGGGAGCTCAGGGGAGGGGGCTGTGGGGAGTGCAGTCACTCAGAGAAGACTGAAACTGCTGCCCAGCTTCAGGAAGTCCTCCATGCTCCACTCTGCTCCACCATTAGCCTTCTACCAGACAGATGTGGAACTGCAGCTCAAGGCAGGGGTCCAAAGTGTCAGGCTCATGTGAAGAGACCTCAGCTTCAGCTCCAGGTTCACATGAGGGGACCACAGCTCTAGCCCAAAGAAGGGGGATTTATTTTTATTTTAAATTATGGGTATATGTGTGTGTCAGAGTATGGGTTTATACATGGGAGTGCAGTTCCTGCAGAGGCCAAAAGAGGGCATCAGATTCGCTGGAACTGGGGTCATAGGTGGTTGTGAGCTGCCAAGAGTGGGTGTTAGGCACTAAGCTCAGGTCCTCTGTGAGAACAGTATACTGAGTCATCTCTCCACCTTCCATTCCTGCCAGCCTCTGTCTCCAGACCTTTGAACCCTCCTCCCAGTCAGGCATATGACCCAGAAAAGAGCCACCCAGAGTCTGCAGAGAACCTGACTGACTCCACTTAAGCACAGGGTCCCCAATATACCTAAAGTCAGATACTGACCCCGGGGTTTCTCACATACATGAGCCTAGGTTCTTCGCTGGTGTTTATGTTTCTGATACTCCAGGATGGATCAGTTATTTGCAAGAGAAAAGAGCTTTGACCCACTGACATGTATATAGTAAAAGTGGCCAATTTAACTGTTTCTGTGGAAGTAACAATTGCTCATGATTCTGGCAGAAGAGTAATAAAAGCTCATTTTTTTGAGACAGGTAGCCCAGGCTGGCCTCAAACTCTCTAGGTAACTGAGGATGACCTTGAGTTTCTGATCTTCCTGCCTCTATCTCCCAAGTACTGGGATTACAGGTGTACACTACCACGCCTAGTTTATGCTCTGCTGGGGTTTAAACCCAAGGTTGTATGCCTGCCAAGCACTTTATCAACTGAACTATAGCCCTACCCCTTAAAGTTAACAATTTTTGAACATTTACTCTGTGGCAACACTGTGTTACACAGTTCATATTGAGAATGAAGGTATAATTTCTTGTCCCTGTGTAAATGAAACGGGCCAAGCACAGTTCTTGTCTTAAGCAACATTGGCATGGGGTGGACTCCCTTGTCCCACTGTTAAACAACAGGGAACAAATAAGAAAAATAGTGAAGGTCATCCCATGTCCCTTGATTTGTTTTGTGTACCAGTCAAAATAGTTTACTTGTGCCAGCAAGATGGCTCAGTGGATAACAGGAGCTTGCTGTGCAAGCCTGACCACCTGAGTTTGATCCCCCAAGCCCATGTAATGGTGAAAGGACGTAACTGATGCCATAAAGTTGTCCTCCAACCTACACATGTGCACTGTGGCACGAATGCTCCCCCATGCGCCCTCCCACAGTACTACTGATCAACATAGTTTACTTAGTGAAGCTAGCAAATGGGTCATCAGGATTCATTTCCATGCCTCTGGCGCACTGTGCCCACCGATGCAAACCATTAGCAGGCATGATCCCAAGCAGTTTCCCCATACTGTGGTTTGGGTATGGTTTGAGTGTCCCCCAGGGCTTTGTGTTGAAATTTAATCCCGACTGTGAGGTGCTAAGAGGATGAAGAAGTGATCCAACTATGGTGTTCAGAGGTGAGGCCTCCAGGTGATTAGAATTAGATAAGGCCAGCAGGTGACTCCTCCTGGCTTTACAAGAGAAAGACATCTATGCATGCCACGGGATCTTTACAAGAGAGAGATATCCATGCATGCCATGGGGTCTTTACAAGAGAGAGACATCCATGCATGCCATGGGATCTTGCTTCAGAACTGAGCCAGCAGGAAGGATGCCACCAGACATGATCCCATAGCCTGTGCCTCCAGAAGCCCAAATAAATCTCTCTTCCTTATAACTGGCAAGAAAAAACAGACTAACATACCTGCCTTGAAAGGCCAGTCACACGTAATATAACTCAATGACGGCCCCAAAACATTAGAAACATCCTAGTCAACTTCTGTTTTGCTGCTGTCCAGTTTCCCAGACTGTAGTGGTCAGTGTCCTAAGATCTGCCTGGTTGGCAGATACGAATGCTGGTCCCCAGCATATTGGCAATCAACAGACTACAGGATGACACTGAATCCCAGACTTCACCAGTGTCTCCTTCAGGGCTTGTGACCTATGTCCTGGGGAGCCCTGGTTAATAAGGCAGCCCTGTCAGTGCTTCTCAGGTGCATGCTAGTGCACGGGACCTCCTTTGTAAAACCTCTACGATCATAGAGAGTGGGTTGAGATCATCTTGGAAGTTACTTTGGGGACTCCATCTGGGTTCAGAAAGTTTAATGTGGCAGCATACGCCCCTGGGATCCCACCGTTGAAATCCTGCTGTTCACAATATATACAGCTGAGGTGGCCAGAAGTAACTGGGTGAGTTACTTAGCCAATGAGCACACAGGAGAGGCCTGGGCGAATGAACAGGCCTAAGAAGGCAGTGTGTTTTTTCCTATACTTAGACCATATTTTTTAACTTCCCAATAATTCCCCCTCAGCTCCACCACGGTATAACCGCTAAGTATAAATGCCACATGTTGGCGATTACAACTTGACGCTTTGATGTATGTATAAACTGTGAAATAATTACAATCAGGTTAATTAACATCACTTCCAATCCTCACAGTTTCCATGTTCTTCCCGTGTGCGTGTGTGTGTGTGTGTGTGTGTGTGAAGAAACCGGCCCCGAGCTGACTGCGAGCACTGCTTTGCTTTCCCACCACCTCCACATACCATACAGATCATCTTCAGCATCAGACTCTTCCAGTGAGACCTGAGGCTGGGCTTTCACTTCCAGGTTTCTGCTGAGCCAGCTCGTTTGTTCCAAGGAGGAGCCGGCAATGTTCCCTACAGCTTCCAGGATCTTCTGAGTGATTTCCTGCAGAGCCATCAGAAGAAAACAGGCATTCAGTTAGGGAAAAGGAGGTGGGTGCATAGAAATGGGGCACAGGCTGCCACTGGGAGCCATTTATGCACCATTAAACTTTCAAGGAGCCACGTCAAAAGGTAACAGCGGGTACAGTTAATATTAGTATGTTATATACCAAAAACAGTATCAATATATAGTCAACATAAAACTTAGAGATTTTTTTGCAGTTTTTTTTCTACTAAGTCTTTGGAATCCAATGTGTACTGTGCATTTACAGCCACATGCTTCTGACCAGCCACACTTCAAGTGTTCACTAAGCACATGGGGTAATGGCTGCTGTACTGTCCTGGCCAATGGAGGCACTCCAGTGATAAGGTTGCACATTATAGAAAGAGATTAGTTTTCTGGCTTCTCTAGGACCATGGTTTGCACTAGTGTTAACTAAAAGTTACAGGAGTGGGGCTTAGAGAGACGGCTCAGTGTTAACAGCATTGGCTGTTCTTGCAGAGGACCTGGATTTGATTTTCAGTACCCACATGCTGGGTAACAACTGTCTATAACTCCAGCTCCAGGGGACTCTGATGCCCTCTTCTGGCCCCCTTGAGCACTGCAAGCACGTGATGCACTTAACATGTATGGAGGCAAAATACTCATACATATAAAAAACAAATCAATCAAAAAAACTTTCTTAAAAATTTTATTTTTGCCAGGTGTGGTTTGCACACCTTTAATCCCAGCACTCAAGAGGCAGAGGTGGATCTGCCTCTGTGAGTTCAAGGCCAGCCTGGTCTACATAGTAAGTTCCAGGACAGCTAGGGCTACAGGGAGACCCTGTCTCAAAAAAGACCAAAATTTTTTTTAAATTTTATGTGTATGAGTTTGTTGCCTGCATATGTTTAAGTATACCCATATCATGTAGTGCCCGCGGAGGTCAGAAGAGGGCACTGGATCCCCTAGAACTGGAGTTACAGATGGTTGTTAGCTGCCATGTGGGTGCTGGGAATTGAACCTGGGTCCTCTGCAAGAGCAGACGGTGCTCTTAACTACTGAGCCATTTCTCTAATGCCTGCCCCCCCAAAATTTTTAATTATATACTCATGGGGCAGGAGCATGGCTCATGGCAGAATGCTTGCCTAGCATGTGAGGGCCCTGGACTCCATCTCCAGCACTTTGAAGCTAAGCTACAGCTCTGAGATGAAGCCCTAAAAATTGGGATCTGTCTTTAAAAACTTTCTTTTTCAACTCTGGCTTCACGTAGTTGGTATCATGATGCTGGGAGCAAACATGGACCACCTGAAAAGCTCTAGCCTGTGCCAAGAGACATATCTCCTGGTTCCCGTGCCTGGGGCACAGAGCTATAGCTACATGTGCATGCTTGCTGGCTGTCTAAAATCTACAACACTGTTTTGGGCAAGGCTGAGAGGACTGAGACCCTCTCTCCATCTATGTTTGGCCCAAATGGTAAATGGTAAATAAGTTCACTTCCCCCCCTTTTTTTTTGGTCTTTTTGAAGCAGGGTCTCCCTGCAGCCCCAGCTGTCCTGGAACTCACCATGTAGTGCTGGGACTACAGGTGTGCACCACCACACTCAGCTTCACTTTCCCATTTATATAAATATATTGTTTTTCTCTTAATGTGGGAAAGTGTTTGAACCCAAAGCCAAGCCGTGTGGCTAGGATCTCTGGGAAGAATTTGGTAACCATACAGGGAGAATTCTCAGTGGTATCATCTGGACAAAAGGGGGTTCATGGGAAGGGTGCCTGGACTGTAAATCCTAGTTTGGTTTTAGAACTTTCTCTCCCTCTCAACCTGTACCCACAGCCCTTTGCTACTTGTGATGAAATAGAACAACGGATGTTTTGGAAGCTAATGGGCCAATGTTTGTTGCCCTAGTGACTCTGGAGGGTGCTGCCAGATCTTGCTCATGTTTAGTTTATTCCCTTGCCACTTGTGGCTTCTTGGGAGCCAATCTGTGGCTTTCTTTAGTGAACTCATAGCTTCTTGAAGAGCCTTTTGAGGTTGTTTTGAACCAAAATTTAGGATTCTTTCAAAACTATTTGACAAAGCAGTTAGGGCTCTTATTTTTTTGTCTTTTTTGAGACAGGGTCTCCCTGTAGTCCAAGCTGTCCTGGAACTCACTATGTAGACCAGGCTGGCCTTGAACTCACAAAGATCCACCTGCCTCTGCCTCCCAAGTGCTGGGATTAAAGGTGTGCGCCACCACACGCGGCTAAGTGCTATGTGGCTCAGGCTGGCTTCGAACTCCAGATCCTCCTGCCTCTGCCTCTTCAGCATATCCTACCGGTGTGTGCCACCACTACTGGCAGGGTTCTTTTTTGTATGTTTGTGTATGTTCAGGGCTGAGTGTGCATGTTTGCATGAAGGCCAGAAGTCAGCCTCTGCTGTTGTTCCTCGGGTACCATTCATCTTGTTCTTTGAGACAGTCTCTCATTGCCTTGAAGCTCACTAAGCATGCAGGCTAGCTGGCTGGTGAGCTCCAGGATCTTCCTGCCTCTGCTTCCCAAGTGCCGGGATTACAGGCATGTCCCACCACACTGGGCTTGAGGCTTTAGCTCTGTTTTTCTTTCTGCTAAAATAACCAAAGTTGCTTTGAGGACTGTTATTCAGTCAGTCCTGGCTGATTCAAATACAGGCACCAAAAATAATTCCACTTGAGACACACAAAAAAAACAAGTTACTGCTCTAGAAAGATTTGACTCAAGGTTGATAAAGCTTGCACATCTTGGGGCTGGAGAGATGGCTCAGCAATTAAGAGCACTGACTGCTCTTGAAGAGGACCTGGGTTCGATTCCCAGCACCCACATGGTGGCTACAAACTGTCCTTAACTCCGGTTCCAGGGGAATCCGATGCTCTCTTCTGACCTCCGCGGCATTGTATGACATGGGTGCACTCACATACATGCAGGCAATACACTCATACACATAAAATAATAAATGAAATAATTTAAAAAAACTTGCACATCTTAAGGTTTAGCCATGTAATCACATGGCCTTAGCTCGTTTCACTTTGTTACGAATATAATTTGGGGAACACAAATGGCCAAAGTATAGACAGTAAGAGTCTGCAGACTGTGGATCCTTGGACAGGACTCCTATACTAAACTTCACCCACCCAGGGCTTAGGGACCATTGTAGAAGAGAGAATGGAAAGACTGTAAGAGTCAGGGAGGAGGTGCATGACCATATGGGACACAGTCCTACAAGCTCCTGGGACCTTGCTCATAGGAATCTACAGCAATGGTGTCAGCATGCACAGGACCCATACAAACTCACAGACAAAAACCCAGCACAGAACTGTGGAAATGGGCAGCAGGCCTCAACCTTAACCAAAGAACTATTGGCAGCTGATTACTGGGGCCCCAATCTTAAGTTGAAGAATTATTGGTAGTCAATTACTGCTGGGTGAGGAAGAGCTGATCTTAATTGGAGAGACTCTAGATAGGCTGACTAGACCCCAGTGGATGAACTTGCACTAAGGGACGTCTGGGGACACTAACTTGATGCTGATAGGCCTTAACACAAATGACAGAATGTATGAATTCCGGTGGGGCGGGCTATGGGAGATGCCAACGGGGAAGGGGTATAAAGGTGATTAAGATGTTCTGTATGAAATACACAAAAATTCAATTTAAAAATTTATCAAAAAAAAAAAAGTTTTTGAAAGGTAGCCAGAGAAAAAAATGTGCTAACAGGATATCATTCATAAGAATTTGTGACACTGTATCAGAAACTATGGAGGTCTGAAAACCAAATAATATCACTAAAATGCTGATTTAAAATATCTCAAGATAGAAATCAATCCAAGTCCAGTATATCATTCATATATATATATAAAATTTGGATTTAACTGGTTAGAGCTGGTAAATTCCTATTACCATGGTGCTTTGTATTATGACTAAAATTTTAAAACAAGTAGTTCAGCCAGGAGTGGTGGTGCACACCTTTAATCCCAACACTCGGGAGGCAGAGGCAGGCGGATCTCTGTGAGTTCAAGGCCAGCCTGGTCTACATAGTGAGTTCCAGGACAGCTGGGGCTACAGGGAGACCCTGTCTCAAAAGGACCAACCAAAAAAACCCACGAAACAAGTAGTTCTCTGACAAATGGGTTAATTTAAAGGTGTTCCATTGTTTTTTAATGAATAACATTTGTGTGTGTGCACATATGTGCTTGCATGTGAGCCGCATCACACGTGGAGGTCAGAGGACAACCTGTAGGAGTCAGTTCTCTCCTTCCACCATGTGTCCAGGGCATCAACCCAGGTGGTCAGGCTTGGCAGCAACTGCCCTTACCATCCAGCCATTTCACTGGTCTCTTTTTGCTTTCTCTAATACACACTGTTTAATGGCAAAGTACATATTTCACCAGAAAAGTGAAAGGCACACTGAAGGAAAATTCCTCTTTCAATTCAATTTTTTCAAAAGCAATCTTTTTTTTAAAAATTTTTATTATTTTTATTTTATGTCTGCATGTAGGTAAGTGCACCCATGTGGTGCAATGCCCAAGGAGGACAGAGGAGGCTGTCAGATCCCCTGGAACTGGAGTTATGGACAGTTGTTAGCTGCCATGTGGGTGCTGGGATTTGAACCCAGGTCTTCTGCAAGAACCGTCAAGTGTTCTTAACTGCTGAGCCATCTCTCCAGCCCTAAAAGCAATCTTTTTAAGACATGTTTAAAATTTTACGTGTTTAAGTGTTTAGCCCGTATACAGGAGTACTGTGTACATGCCTGCTGGCCATGGAGGCCAGGCGAGGGCATCAGATTCCCTGGGACTGGAGTTAAGAATGGGTGTCAGCCACCATACAGATACTGGGAACCAAGCCTGGATCCTCTAGAAGAACAGTAAGTGCTCTTAACCACTGAGCCATCTCTCTGGCCCCTACATGTGCATTCCCAATTGGTAAATAAGCAATAGCACTTGTGAGGCAGGCAGATGTGGACAACAGCTTAGCAACCTGGGACTCCACTTGGCTGTGTACACATGTACTCCTCTTTTTACAACATACCTGGCTGCCTGAGACCCTTGAGAGCATGTACTATGTACACACCCCTCTTGGAACAATGCATCTAACAACCAACTGACAGCCTGTATACCTGGTTTAAACAACTGACAGCCTGTATACCTGATTTAAACAATGCAAATGTTTCCCTGAGCGACCCCTTGATACCTGGAACGTGCCTGAGAACTCATCCTGAAACCAACAGAGATGGGCCAAACTATGTGCAATAAGGCAGGCTATGTCCTCTAAGTGACATTTTAAGGAGAATCTCCTATTTACCATCATATGCTTATGACTATTTGGGTGTGCCTATGACTAAGATCAGATGCATTATGGGAAAGGACATGCACAGCGAGCAAAGGCTTACATAATCTAAGCCTGCCAATAAAAACAGCATCATCCCCACTGTGTCCATTTGTAACCAAGTTCGTTCTTCTCTCCAACCCCTAAATGGAACCCCAAAGCCTCACTCACGTCTCTCTCCAGTTTGTACTATCGCTTTGCTTTTGAATGACATTCCCTTGCCGCTGTTCCAATCTGGTGCACTTATTTCAGTCCACTGAGTAAGACACCAAAAACCTGGGAACATCCAGTCCCATCCCTGACACTGGTAACACTTGTCTGTATTCAAAGGTTTCTGTGGTTCTACGGGTCGTGCCTGGAGAACTGTAAAGATGTTATAAACAAAGAAACCAAGCTGATGCATTTTAGTCATATGCACGCTCAGACATGCATAGGCTATTCAAATGCAATTCTAGATGAGTACAATCTCAGAGAACTGAAATTCTAATAAAGAACCTGAAACTTCTGAAATGAGCCCTAACATAATTTTCTACTTGATATTATAATTCATTAAATATAAAATAATGTGCTTTCTCCTCAAACAGCACTTTCACCTTGGTTTATGTAAAAAAGACTAACAAACATAACCATTGACATCTACCCAATGATTTTATAGACATACACAGGCACCAAGGATCCAAGTGCAACCGATTATGACTAGTAATAATCAGATGCATACAGATTAGAAATGCATGTGCCAACATCTAAGTGTTAGTAGCAAAAACAAGGAGTCTTTCTGCAAGGAACAATATGTTCTAAAATGAAATGGAGATCTTTTTTAAAGGTTAAAAACTCATTCAATTTTATGTCTTAAAGGGCTTATACTGAGTTCAATATTGTATAACTGTATGAATTCAACTGTGAACCTAGAAACTTACAGCCACTTGTGAAAGAGATGTACTCTTGCTCTGGAGAGTGTTAATGAATATGTTAAAGCTGTAATGAAATGCTTCTTCTAATCATGTAATCATAAAAAAAAAAAAGACTCTAACAGAACACTCTCATGTCCCCTTCTGACAGAACTAAGCTTTGCGAACTGAAGTTCCTGGAAAAACTCCACATGTTCTCTGCAAGGCTGATTAGCACTTCCTTGATTGTTGAGGAGTCAGAACAGGTGAGAGCCAAGTTATCTTGGGCTACCTTTGGTTCCATAATACCCACTCACTACCCCTCTGTGTCTGGCCTGACATCTTCCAACCATCAGGTGAAGTCTCTGGGCTTATTAACCAGCTCCCACCAAGTCACAGTCACAGAAGACCATGAGACAGGCTCTGAAACCTTGCCTTGTTGCAAGCTGCCTGCCTGATGTTCCCACTAATGTACTGAAAATGCATCGATTTCCGACTGTCTTCCTCTCTCTGACTATGAGAGTTCCTGACACTGCTTCCATCACTGGAACATGGTATTCAGAGCAGGCTGAACCTGTGTTCTGGGGCCATGACTACTCAAATTCGGCTCAGAATCAACTCTTCTCTTTGAGGTGAGAGTTGTGTTTTGTGCTGACTGCTTGTTTTACAAAAAGGGTTTTATTTTTTTAACCATGGCTACCACAATTTCACATGGGTGTGGCTTTTGTTCTAAGACTCTGTCACTTTACGTGAATTTCAAGTAGACTTAACCTAAAGGTCACCCCAATTCACACTCCCTACCAAGAGGGACCAAAGAACAGAATGATTATTTCATAATAAATTGATTTATTTTAACAAATTAATTAGTGGTAAATGATTAATCAGAGATAAAAGTTTTTTCCTAGATTGGGCGGAGGGAGCTGTCAAGATGGAAACACCCTACCAAAAACCAGTAAGGGGTCTTCTGCATGGTCCCTATTCTCCAGTAGGTGGTGACAGCAGCTACCTTGGGCTGTGGTGCCCACTGTACGGTGCTCTAGTATGTATGGGTATTCCTACTTTGTGGAATAAGCATTTGGCTCCTTTTAAACTTAATGCATCAGGTGCCCCCAATGAACTCCATGCATCAACACAGCGGCAGCCACTCAGATGACACAGAGTCCTGAATCACTCAAGACAGGAATGGATGAGAAAAGAGGACCCAAGAAATTAGGATCTGTTTTCAAAACTTATCTTTTTCAACTTAGCTTCCTACAGAATTGATCATGATGGGAGTGAAAATGGTCCACCCCTGGAAACCCTGTTCCCTGCCAAGAGATCACTTCTATCTCTTGCTTCCAGTAACCTGAGTTCCCAGGTAAATCCACATGTGCTATTTTCTGGCTTTTGTTCCATTCTTTCTGATAGCTGCAACCCTGCTTTGAGGGAGGCACAGACAGGAGGAGAGATTCTTCCACCTCAGTTTTGGTCAAAACTGTCAATAAATTCATGCATATATAAAACTGTTTTCTTTTAATGCAGGCAAGTGGTAGGAACTACAACCAGGCCTTATGATAAAGGGCCCCAGTGACAGTGTGAATCAGCAAGCTGAGACAAATCAGGAGGTAGCCCCCAAATTTTCCAAAGAGGACAGTTTCAACTGGCAGGATAATCAAGTTCTCTTTGTTTTAATTCTGTCAAAGGAGTAACTAATGTTAATCAACAAGTTGGGGGTTTTGTTGTTTTCCTATCTGTCTCCCTGTCCCTGCCGTACATAGAACAACTTTTAAGTGACTGAACAGTTTTTATGATTCTTCACTCCTCTAGCTATAAAAGCAACTTCCACTGCTTGGCCCACTGAATACTTGTTTTAAAGAATGAAGTGATGCCTACTTAAAGCCGATTAAGGTATTTAAGTTAGGACATGGAAGCTGGAAGATCACGAGTTCCAAGCCATTCTACGCAACTTGGTAAGACAGTCTCAAAAAAAAAAGAAAAGTTCAGTATATAGCTCAGTGGTCCCAAGTTGATTTCTAAGCACCACAAAAACAAACCAACAAACAAACCAGCCCTAGACAGTGTGGCCCAGGCCACTGATCCAAATTCCGGGGAGACTGAGGCAAGAGGATTGTGAGTTTGAGACCAGCCTGGGCTACAGAGAATCTTTATCCAAAACCAGGGACTGGTGGGAAAGGGAGTCAGCCCAGATGTCCGGCAACAGATGAGTGGATAAAGAAAATGTGGTGTATATACACAGTGGAGTTTTATGTAGCCATAGAGGAAAAATGAAAAGGATGGGGCTGGAGAGATGGCTTAGCAGTTAAGAGCACTGGCTACTCTTGAAGAGGATCAGGGTTCGGTTCCCAACACCCATGTGGCAGCTAACAGCCATCCGTAACTCTAGTTCCAGGGGATCCGATGCCCTCTTCTGACCTCTGTGGGTTTTGCATGACACAGGTACACTTACATACGTGCAGGCAAAACACTCATATACATAAAATAATAACAATTTTTTTTTTGTCTTTTTGAGATAGGGTGTAGCCCCAGCTGGCCTGGAACTCACTGTGTAGACCAGGCTGGCCTCAAACTCACAGAGATCCGTCTGCCTCTGCCTCCCCAGTGCTGAGATTAAAGGCATGCACCACCAGGCCTGGCTTCCTGCTTTTTTAACTTAATATGTGTGTCATGAATACTTTCTTATGGTCATTTTAGTTCTTTGAAGACACTGTTTTGTTGGTCTTACAATTTATTCAATCATTTCTGTGTTCTTATTAACAATTCATATTTTAAAGATACTTACTCTCTGATATAAATAACACAGGTATGAATATCTTTATTTGAATATCTTTGTATATACTGTTTATTTAAATGCTTAGATACCACAGAGTAGGTGGCAATGCCTTAACCATATGTGTGCTGTTAGGCCCAAGGCCTCTTCCATCCTGGTCAAGGGGACTGCTAACCTGCTCTCTTTTCGTACAACACAAAATAGTGATTTTTAAAAAAAATGTATCATAACTTTGCAAAATTTTTAATTTATTTTTATTTTTTGTGAATGAGTATATTGCCTGCTTGTATGTAAGTGCACCTGTGTCATACAAAGCCCACAGAGGTCAATAAGGCTTCAGATTTCCTAAAACTAGAGTGCTGAGAACTGAACCTGGGTCCTGTACAAGAGCAGCCAGTACTCTTAACCACTGAGCCATCTCTCTAGCCTGGAATTTTTTTTTTTTTTTTTGAGATAGTCTCACTATGTAGCCCAGGTTGGCCTTGAAACTCATACCAATCCCTTTGCCTCAGCACAGCTCCCAACTCCAATTACTGGGTTTACAAGTTTGAGCCACCACGCCTAGCTAAGTGTTACTGTTTTAACATTTTCAAAAATTTAGTATTTTATTTATTATCTTTATGTGTATGAGTGTATTGCCTGCATGTATGTAAAATGCACCTGTGTCATGCAATGTCAGTAGAGGTCAGAAAAGGGTGCTGGATTCCCCCAGAACTGGAGTTACAGATGGTGTGGGTGCTGGGAATCAAACCCAGGTCCTCTCTAAGAGCAGCCAGTGCTCTTAATTGCTGAACTGTCTCTCCAGCCTCATTTTCAAAATTTCTTATGAACATGTATTGCTTTTACTGGGGGAAAGAACTTCTTCTGTATGGATACAGATTCATGCTTCCCAGCGAGATCTGCAGACATCTGCATGCACTGAGCAGTGCAGGGCATCTCATGAATTCCTCAGCAGGCAGCTTGGACATGACACAACTGTCATCAGGAAACCCTGGCTGGATCCTGCCTGAGCCCTCAATTATTGGAAGTAATCAACACAGGCAGAGCTGAGAAGCAGTTCTGCGTAAGGCTGACAACTGACAGTGAGTGATGTCCCTCAAGACAGACAGCACTGCGAGAATCACACCACGTTCTCAAATGCTTTCACACTGAGCAGAGTCACAATGTGTCCTCACACACTGATGAGAGTCACAACGGGCTCTCGATGTTCTCACTGACCTGCAGGTCCTTTTGGTACTTCTTGCTTTCCAGATTGGGAGTTCTCGTTACAAAGTCATTCAGCATGCTGTAGAGAGACAATCAGCTTCTGATCAAAACTGCTGAAGACATAAAATGTGTTCCAATAGAAACACTAGATCCACGTGGATGTGGACACTGGATACCTGAGAAGCAGAAAATAGCCCGGGGGAGCCAGGTTCAGCTGCACAGACTCCTTCAGGACTCCCAACAGCGAAGGGAAGGTCTCTTGCAAGTCTGGGATTGGGAGCCTATTTAAAACAAAAATGGGAAAAATAACCAAACCATGAAAAATAAAAACACTTACTAGAAGCACACTTCAGATGCAGGAATTTGAAAGCAGAGGCGGAAACAGTGCATCTGACTTTACCCCTGCACTTTTCATTAGTTTATACATGCTCAGCACTGACATTCGGCAAGCACCTATAATCAGCTTGCCAACAGGTGAGATGCTCTGGGCTTTCTCATCTATAAAATAAAAGCCTCAACCAATTGGCCTGGCCTGGCTACTGTTTTGCCTCCTGCACTTTGCTGACAGCAGGCGTTGTCTGTGGTAACGCCACAGAGTGTTAAGGTGATACCAATCAGCAGTCACGTCCCAGGCAGCGAGGAGGATGCTGATGCCCTATATACAGCCAGGCACTGCAGCAGTCTGCTGAAGCTTGGGTGCAGCCAGGGTTGCAGATCCCCATGCTGGCGCCTACCTTACTATGTCCTGTTCCACCTTGGCGCCTCCTCTGCAGCGGAGATGGTAAAAACCCACCCTGAAGCTAGGGAAGCTTGGAGACCACACGGGTCACTGAGATAAACCTGTTAGCATTGGCTAGCATAGGGAGTGGCCTGACTGGCCCCAGAACTACAATGATGCTCATGGGTGAGAGAGTAACAGCGAGTTAGAATTAAACCCTCAGTCCGGAGACTCTTCGGATTATGGTCTTCAATTTGCCTTTCTGGAACTTCAGAATGTGGTGAGTGGTAGTAACAGGGGTTGTGAACAAATAGACCAGAGTGGGCTATCAGAATTTTTTACTGTGAAACATCCAGGGGATAGTTACTGTCGGTGGATAGGCTGATGTGGGGGCACAGGTTGATATGTTGAAACACTTGGTCCCTAGTTGGTGGTACTGTTTTGGGAGGTGGTGGAGCTTTGGGGGCAGGAGGCATGGCAGGCTGAGGTGGGTCATGGGGGCAGGCCTTTATTTGAGTTTTCTGCCCAGATGTGACAAATCACACCACCAACTCTTGTTGCTATGGACAGACTGACTCCCACCACTGTGCCGTCCCTGTTGATGGAATAATATCCTTCAAACCAGCCAGAACGAGTCCTTCCTCCCTTAGGTGCTTCTGTCAGGTATTTGGTCACAGCAACATAGCACCTAATCCAACAGGCAGGGATGCTGAGTTTTCCTTGAAAGGCCATGTGCTCCTCCATCCCCACTGCAACACTGATGTCCTCTCTGGGGTCAGGAAACTAAACTTGGGATACTGTCATGGTAAATAAGGAACAGGCCCAGCAAAGCATTCTTTGCATACTGGGGAGTCCCCTCTACATTGGCTTCAGCCCAGACTGAGACTTTACCACTTTCCTGTTTATCTTCCTTTTAAAAATCAATTTTATACAGATTTCAATCTTTTAAAGCTTAATAGACCTCACATAAAGCTTTGATGACATATTCAACATGCAGCACATGGATTTTAAAAATGTCAGACCAGATCTCTAGGGGAGAAAAACAAAAACAGAGGCCATTTCCCACACCTCCAGAAAAACGGAGGCACTTTTGAGATGTTTTCTGAACTGAAGCTGGCACTGATTTGATGGTGACTGACGCAGAACCTGCAGGGCAGGAGTGTTTGTGAGGGAACACGATACCTTTGGATGAACGCGTAGCAAAACTGCAGCACGGGAATATCCACCAGAGGTGATTTCTGAAAATGAAAGCAAACCACGTGTGCCCAGTTGGTAGGAGGTGGGACCGTCAAAGGACTCAGCACAGAGAACAACAGAGTGTGTGTTTATGGTTAGACTCTGAAACGGTGTGAGTGCTTGTTCCCCAGATGGAGGTGTTAATTGTGGAACCTTTAGGAAGTGCGGCTTAGCAGGTCACAGACCACTGGTGGACAGACCTTTGAAGGTTACATCCTGGTCCCTGGTTCTGCCTCCCTCGCTCTCTGCTTCCTGGTCTGCTGTGATGTGAGCAACAGCCTCCCCACACTTCCTGGCATGGTGAACTGAGCTACTCCGCCAAGTCTTCTCTACCATAACGGGGTAAAACCTTCTGAAGCCATGAGCCGAAATACAGCTTTCCTCCCTTAAGCTGTTTCTTCTGACAGGTATTTTGGTCATGGTGACATGGCCATAGCACTGCTAGTGCACAACAGAGACAAGTGCGTTCTCTAAGTCCTGAATTGTTAACACCCTTCCTGGAAGACATCTATGGAGATTTCTCATTCTGTTTACCAACTCCTAACCCAGGTCACCACCAGTTTTCACAGAAGATTTGGCATTTTAACTGAACCTCCCCACACAGGAAGCTGGGGCTGCCAATGTTGATCTAATAAATGCAGGAGACAATACTCCAGTCTATGTGGAAGAGAGTCCCTCATGCCTTGCCCAGAGTGCCCTAAATCCCAAATGGCTGGAACTATGTAAAAACTGGTTTCAATACATGTTCTCTTTCTTTTAAAAAGCTATTTGCAGAAGTTGGGTACATGGCTTCAAAGAAGCAGAGAATGTTTTGTAGTTTGAAATACCTAACCTCAACTAGCCAGGTGAGATCTAGTTCCTTTTTAGCTCTGACAAAAGAGGAAGGTTCAGGGATCTGTAGACTTTCAAGTAATTTGAAAGAATAAACCCCAAAAGGCCCCGTCTGTCTGTGCCGTCGCCCCGTGTGAGCGCCTTCTTCAGGACAGTGCCTGTGCCTGCTTAGCAGCAGAGCTGGACTTGATTACAGAATCTCACCTGTCAGCGCCCCTCTGAGGAGTTTGGCCTTGTTTACTTTCCACATCTCTGAGGCTGCAGAGTTCCTGGAGCAGATGCCATTTCCCCTTTCTACAGACTTTGTTCCACGTGGTGCACAGAAAGTGCTAAGAACTGAGCGCTGTGTGGCACAGTGGGCAGGGTAGCACACAAAGGACCCTCTTTACAACACAAACCGTTCTTACTTGCTGTTGCTACCAGCGTCTCCCTCCTGAACACAATCTATAGGCACTAGCATCAGGAAGACCAGGACCTTTGATTCCCTCAGCTGCCTCACCTCGTCCCCTTTGATCTGCAGTGGCCTCTTCACCACCTCCTTTACCAGGTGCAGCACGGAATCTGTTTGCAGAGTGCTGAGTGCACAAATCAAGTCGACAAGGGTGAGCTGGGAAGCACTTGCCACAGGGACAATCTGTCCAGAAGAAAAGAATTCCTTGAAAGCATGCAGAGAAAACAAAAACAGAGCTATGTATAAAAACTCTACAGTAGCTGCCTCTGGAAGTTTGCTTAAATCTTTGTGTGTGGAGTGCAAGTGCCTGTCCAGTGGGGTGCGTACGTGTCTCTCTGGTTCCTCTGGGGTCAGAGGTTGACGTCAGGCATCTTGATTACTGTCCTCCTCTTTTTTCACTTTTTAATTTTGTGTGTCCATGTGTGTGGAGGCACTCATGTGCCACGTCACAAGTATGGAGGTCAGAAAACGATTTGTGGCATCAGTTCTCTCCTCCCGCCATGTGAGTTCCAGGATGGAACTTGGGCCATCAGGCCTGGCAGCACGCCCATTAGCCATCTCGCCAGCCCGCTTTGCACTTGTAACCTTACCTTTGTCTTACTGTGGCGCTGAGCTTGCTTTCGGCTCCACACCGTAGCTACTGCGGCTATCAGTTGAACCCCGAGATGGGCTGTCAAGGGATTTAGGAAGTCCAAAATTTTTTGTCTTATGGTCTAGAAAACAGAAAAGAAAGAGTTATTGCAAAAAAAAAAAAAAAAAAAAAAAAAAAAAAAGTTTTATTATAGAGTAATATCAGGGACCCCACGCAATCTTTAGCTACCACTATGGTAAGACCGAGGCCAGGGACCTACTGTGTCAGCAACATGCAACACAGTTGGGGGATCCGGGAAAGAGGAACTGGATGTGTGATGGGGGCCCGGGATGGGTTGTAAAAGGATTTAGGAAGTCAAAAATTTTTTGTTTTTTGGTCTAAAAAAAAAAAAAAAAAAAGTTTTTTAAAAAAAAAAAAAAAAAAAAAAGACAAAAAAGTTATTATAGAGTAATATCAGGGACCCCACGCAATCTTTAGCTACCACTATGGTAAGACCGAGGCCAGGGACCTACTGTGTCAGCAACATGCAACACAGTTGGGGGATCCGGGAAAGAGGAACTGGATGTGTGATGGGGGCACACCACCCATGGAAGAGGGAAGGCACAGTGAGTGGCCAGGATGGAAGGACACGAATGTCCCAGTTCCACTCAGCAGAGAGTTTGTTTTTATTAATAACTTTAGAAGGCTAAAACCACTCTACCCCGCTGTTCCCATGTATACACATAAGTGAACATTGTTTGTGTTATGACACAGGGTCTCATGTACCCCAGGTTGGCTGACATTAGCCTTGAAACGGGTTTCCTGCCTCTACCTCCCAAGTGCTGGGATTATAGGCACGTGCCCCCATGCCCAGCTTTAAAGAGATTTCCCCTTCTGACTTGAACTTTAGGTCTCATTAAATACGTCTGATTATCTGAATGTACATTTCCAGGCATATCCATTTTTCGTTCTTTCTGTGCTTTCTGAGACAAGGCTTCGCTGTGTAGCCCACACTGGCCAGCAACTCACTATATAGCTAAGATTATAGGTGTGCCTACCATACCTGGTTTACAAAAAGACTTAAGTAAAAGAGACAGAAGCCAGGCCTGGCGATGTACTCAGGAAGTTGAGGCAGATGGATTTCTAGTTTCTGTAAACAAACATTCAAAAAAATGTCTCTCACCTTGGTGGTTTTAAAGTAAACGGAAGAGGATCCCTTTGTGGCCCCTAGGAGATCCACAGGTCTCTTCTGAGTCTCCTCCTTTCTGAGAACATTCCATATAAGGGCCATGGTGTTCATGATTCGAGGCAGCTCTTCCAAAATGGCATTTTTAGCATTTCTCAAGCTGATAGGATCACTGATGGCAGCGGTCTAGAGTTAAAATGGGTAAATGAGACTCCCTGCACCAGTCCAGCTTCCTCTTGCCTGAGGACGGGGTTGCTGCTGGATTTAGGAGGGCCGCCGGCCTCTCAAAGCAAGTCACCTGTGTAGTGGGTGACATTCTTCCCTGTACGTGTCAACCCCATGGCTTGCTTTCAGAGACAAAGCTGGTTGTGCAAACTTTCAAATTATAGAATAAACTTTGTAATCAATCAAAGCAGCAGATGGAAGATTTTTGTTTTGTTTTCTGTTTTGCTTTGTTTTTTGAGACTGGGTCTCACATCCAGGCTGGTCTTGAACTCCTGATCCTCTTGCCTGTACCTCCCAAGTGCTGGGATTACAGGCATGCACCACCACACCTGTTTTGTATTCTAAGATTTAGCACAGACAGGGTAGAGCAAACAATGGCCACAATGTCTTTCAACTAAGAGTCCACAAACACCACACCAGCAGGTAAGAAAAAAAGAAAACCCACTTGAAAAAAAGTGAACATAGGGCTGGGGAGATGGCTCAGTAGATAAGTGTGCTTGCAATGCAAGCATGAAGACCTGAGTTCAAATCCCCAGCACACATGTAAAAAGCTGGCCATGGCTTTGTATGCCTGTAAGTCCAGCATGGGAGAGAGCAAAGTCAGGAGGATCCTGGGAGCTCATGGTCAGTCATCCCGCCTACCCAAAACAGAGAGCTTTCAGTTCGGCGGCCAGGGATCCTGTCTCAATGCAGTAAGGCGGACGGCAACAGAGGAAGACACCCAACAGGCACTCCCATGGGCACACACACCTGTACACTTATGTGTACATACACATAACATACACCCCCCCCCCCCCAAGATGAACATAAATCTAGAATCAAGCAGCTTTGTACTTTATCCCTGTGGTTACTGATGGAACAGTGGGCAAAAGCTAAAGGAACTGCCTGGAGACAAGATCAAACCCACATTTATATGCCTTATGTGTGTATATCTGCATATGCATTTACATCTCTTGCATATATTTGCATAATCTACACAGCTACATATTTGCATCTCCTACATTTGCATCACTTGCATTCTATATATGTATATATTCAACATAGTCACAACCCAGTGAAGATAAAACAATGACGTCTGCCTCAAACTCAGGGGGACGCAAACAAACCTTTTTGTTTTGGTTAGGCTGTTCCAAAAGACAGAAATGGCAAATCGTCGTCAGACCTTCCAGCAGGGTGAGTGGGTAATCTGGAGAAATGTTTTCCTTCTTTGAGGTTGTGCTTTGGTGAAGAAATGAGAAATTGTTAAAAAAAAAAAAAAAAAAATGTAAAAAAAGGGCAAGCGAGATAGCTCAGTGGTAAAGGCACCTGCCACCATGCCTGACAGCCTGAGTTGAATCCCTGGAACCCACTCTGTGGAAGGAGAGAGCTGACCTCCATACATAGAAACATGGACACACACAAAATAAATAAATAAATGTTAAAATTAAAAAAAAAAATGAGAAACTGGTTTTGAGACTTTTAACAGAATGAAGCCATGAACATTTTCAGTCTTGTATGTAAACGTAGAAATCAGAAAGATGTTACTATTTTACATTCATAGTCATAAAGTTTAAGGTGTTTTAGGGTTACTGTGAAGGAAATCCTGTTTTTGTTTATTTTGATTTTGCAAAAATAACAAAGTAACTTGCCTGTCAATCTGAGCTGGCCTGGGTAGCTGAGTGTTTTATTTCATTTCACTTTGTGATAGTGATGGTCTCAAACCCACTGCATAACCAACCTTGAGTGCTGGGCATTGAACCCAGAGATTTGTGAGTGACAGCTTACATCCCCAGACTACTCAGGGTGAAGGTCAAAGGATCTGAACATTTGCCCACCTTCACAACGCTCACCTGCCTTCTGATAGGTTTGGATTATCTTCTAATTAGCATCCTCAGCAAAACAGTCATTCACTACAAAATCTGCCCTGAAAGTACTGAGTTCAACATACCTGATTGACAACTTCACAGACTCGCTTTCATACTGCTTGACCAGTTCATCCAGATTTTTGCAAATCTGGATGACAAAGGGCGTCACCGTCCAGCCCAGGGACTTTCCGAAATACGGCAGGGAATGTGTGACCAGGCTCACCCAGGCGGGGTGCATGCCATAGCCATAGGCAGGCTGCAGGCCTCTCACCACGGCTGATACCAGCAGGCCCTGGGAGGTGAGGGGGTGGGGCTGCACGTACTGCATGGCACCGATGGCCTGCTGGAAGTTGAGGGCCCTCTGCCACTCTCGGGACAGGGCTGGCTGGCTCTCGGCCTCCTCCTGCCCCTGGCCCAGGTGGTGCTCCAGGACGATGAGTGCCTGCAGGAGCTTGAGCAGCTCAATCTGCAGCGGATGCTCGCTCCAAATCTGGTCCTGCCCCAGATTGATGAGGCTTTCCTCAAAGAGGTTGTCCTCCGGCAGAACTCTGCCTAGGTCGGCAGTGGCCAGGCCGTAGCGCTTCTGGCTGGTGTACATGGACGCTGACAGTGAGAGCAGGACGAACTCCTGGACTTTGCACCTCTGCAGCAGGCTGTGGATGAACTCCGTGTTCTTCCCTTCCAAGGACTTGGCCACCGAGATGAGCTGCGTCATTATTCTAATTAGAACCTCCACGCTCTTGACCTGCACATCGCGGTTGCCCAGGATGTCCCGGTGGCAGACCTTCAGGTAGCAGGGATAGTAGGACCTCAGGAAACTCAGGCAGAGGTAGGTGAGGAGCTCGATGAGCAGAGAGTGCGGGCACACGTTGGGAGCCTGGGTCTGGAGCTTGCCGTAGAAACTCTGGCCAATGAGAGCCTCCTGGTGACGTGAAAGCAGGTTGGAGATGAGGTTGAGGTGCGCGGTGGAGCTGGTGTCCATGCTGGTCCTGGACACAGCCTCAATGAACTCCTTGGGGTTGGTCTTCAGCACGGCCTCCAGCACGGAGAAGGCATAGAGCACCCGCCGGGAGTCATAGGGCTGCAAGTAGAGCAGGATGTGCTTGAACAAGGACTCCAGTGTCTCCTGCCTCTCCCTCTGCTGCTTCAGCAGCCGTGACGTGGTAAGGGCCTGGAGCTCCAGGTCGGCCTCCTCATCGCTGGAGAACGACTCGGAAGCCTGTGTCCTGTCTGAGTCTGCTCGTACCAGGCTCAATTTGGCACTGGGCTTGCTTTCTGGCTGAAGGGTCAGCAGGGCTGAGTGCTTAGGGTACACCCTGCCCCCAAGGGGGATGGGTGCGCAGCAGTTCTCCTCATGGCTGAGCTCCTGGGGGTCATGGGAGGGGGATGAGAAGGTGGACGTGTTCTCGCTGTCGGTGTGTCCAGAGCTCATGTCTGCAGACTCTGTGTGCTCGTTGCTGTCCAGGCCTCCAGGGGCTATCCTGTCAGGAAGGTCCACATAGTAGGGTAGGTCCTCCTCGCTCAGCTCACTTCTTGGTGGGCACTTCTCTGGTTCCTTCTCTACTTCGGCCCAGATGGCTTCACGGTCCACAGTGGTGAACTGGCCCAGAGGCAGGTGCTCCTCAGAGCCCCCTTCCTGCAGTTCGGTCACCCCATGCGCCTCTTTGAAAGAGGGCTTCTTTCTGTTAAACCAACGATGCAGATCCTCTGGAAATCACAAAACAGCAAAGAGTGTTAGAACAGAAGGGATGCTAGATGAGCTCAGAGTGATCTACATCGTAAAGCAGACAGAGCAGAGTTTGTGAGGTCCCCACCACAGAGTCAAGTCCCCACTGGAACCGTGCCAGAGTCTATGTTGCATTATAGACAAAAGGCAGACATGGGAAAGTAAAGAGGTTCTTTAGCTGGGGGCATAGTTCAGTTGGTAGAGTGTTGGCCTAGCATGTAGAAGGCCCTGGGTTTGATCCCCAGCACTGCACAAATCTAGGTGTTGGCATACATAGGCAAATAGGATCTTTAGAATATTCAAGAGACTGTAAAACATAGTTTTACTGTCATAGAAACTTTAACTTACAACCTTTTTGTTTTTATTTTGAGACAAGTCCTGCTTGGAACGTCTTCGGACTGGCACTCTTCCCACCCCAGTCTGACTGGAGGCATGGCCACCACCTGGCATATGCTTCATTTTTTTTTTTTGTCATAACTCTATGGGCAAGGTACTTTGAAAAATACAACTGATTTTGTTCCAGGAATTCCCTCTTAAGAAATGCATTCCAGGGCTGGAGAAATGACTCAGCAGTTAATAGCACTGGCTGTGCTTGCAGAAGGCTCAGGTTCAAATCCCAGCACCCACATGGTGGCTAATAATTGTCCATAACTCCAGTTCTAGGGGACCTAACATCCTCTTCTATCCTCCGCCGGCACTGCATGACACAAGTGCACTTAACATATATGCAGGCAATACACTCATACAAATAAAACAAAATTAAAAAAAAAAGAAATGCATTTTAAGGCTGTGCATGGTGGTGCACACCTTTAATCCCAGTACTCAGGAAGCAAAACACAGGTGGATTTCTGCAAGACCAAAGCCAGTCTAGTCTACACAAGTTCCAGGCAAACTGGAGCTACAGGGAGACCCTGCCTTTAAAGTTAATAGATAATTAAATAATAATAAAGAAATGCATGCCACAGAAATGCCTGCAGTAGGTTTCAGACCTATGAGCACAAACTCCCATGTGTGGGGACAAACTGGGAAGTGACCTGGCAACCCACAGAGAGGGAGGGCTCAGTGAACTAAGGGGGTATGAGCCCTGACAGACTGCGGCTCAGACTGCAGCTATTTATACATATGGATACGAGCAGCACACAGGACATCAAGGGAAAGGCAAAATCCAGCTGCAAACAGCTGCATGGAATGAGCCCACTTGGGAGAGTATCCATGACACAGAGCTGTGAGAAACACCGGGAGCATCTGCCACCCACTGACAGTACTGAGCTCTCAACTGACATTACCTGGGGCTTCTATCTACTGCCTTTACTTCCGAAGTATGCTAGATTTCCTTAATTATGTGTATGTATGGTGTGTCTGCACAGGTGTGCAGCCTGAGGTTGGTGTCAGGAGTCCCCCTCTATCACTTTCCACCCTATATCTTGACTCAGGGTCTCTCAATTAAGCAAGTATTCTAATTTTTAAAACAAACACTTCTGCACTAAGAAAACAAACAGCACTTTTTTTTGTTGAGACAGGGTCTCAGCTGGCTCAGAACTCACTATGTAGACCAGGCTGGCTTTGAACTCACAGGGATCTGCCTGCCTCAGCCTCCCAAGTGCTGGGATCAAAGGTGTGCTCCACCACGCCCCGCTAACATAGCACTTTCAACTATCCTTGAAAAGATGTAAAAATCAAACGGCTTTGGAACCACTAAACATTTTTAGTAAGTTGCTTTCAGCATGCCACAAACATAAGCAAGATCAAGTGGATGTGCATGCTACAGTGTCTACGCACACTATGGTGTCTGTGCACACTACAGTGTCTGCGTATACTAGTGTCTGCATATGCTACAGTGTCTGTGTATATTAGTGTTTGCGTGTACTATGTTGTGTATACTACGGTGTCTGTAGATATTACAGTGTCTGTGGATACTATAGCGTATGTTTATACTATAATCTCTGTGTGTACCACAATGTCTGTGGATATTATAATGTCTGCGTATACTATGAAATGGTTAAACAAAAGGAGCTCAATCTCATCACCATTTTTGCATGTGAACATTTAAAATCTCCCACAGAATGGAGGAGAACCCTACACTAGTTGTTCCGAGTGCTGGCTTCTGTGGTCCTTAAACTGTCAAGCCTTTGTATGTTCACAAGGTACATTCACACCGTTCACACTGTGTTAACCTAGCCAACTGCCAAGTGGATCGACACCCCTGTGATGACAGCTACTGCTGGCCTCCCTCCCACAACTGTGACCCTGCTTGGGCTGCTCACCTGCTGAGTTCTCCTGCTTGAGGCAGTGAATGGAGGTCCTTTGGGTTTTGGGCTGGAGCAGCAGCAGGAGCACGGGTTCGAGGATCCGTGCCACATCCCCAAGGGAGAGTGCACGCACCAGCCAGCCCTGGGCTGCAGCACTGATGGCACCATCCGTGCAGGCCAGGCTGTCCAGCACAACAAACAAGGACCTGTGGGCAGAAAGATGTCACCAAGCCCCCACTGGGTCATCCCTGCATGTCAAGCATCATAGCCCCCCCACACTGAGCAAGTGATGTCGAACATGGACACCATGGCGAGCTTCATCAGGCTGGGCTTACAGACCAAGCGGAGGAGAGGCTGTGTGCCTCGGTGCACAGCTATACTTTCAGAGACTCAGTGGAGTGGAACACACCCACAGAACACTGCATCTACACCCAGTGCAGGGTATACCACATGGAGGTCTAAACCACCTGTATCTCCCTAGAATCCTCATCAAGCAAGACACAAAAGCTTCCTCATCCCCACCACATTAAAAATACTCCTAACAAGGCTCATAGTTCTGGGCTAAGGTAATTTAGAGGCTCATGGGAACCGAGCTCTGTGCATGTGAGGTCACATGCTGAGGTCACAGCTCCAGGGCGTGGTCCTGCTGTCAGTTTCTCGGCCACCCCAGCCCCACACATGCCCAGGAGCCTCTGCAAAGCTCCCTTTGTTGAGGACTGTGGATTGCAATGAAGAACTGCCTCACCTGTCAAAGGAGCGATTGTGGGACGTCACGCGACTGCCCTGGATCTCTCTGGTCAGGTGCCAGATCACGGAAAATCTAAACAGAGCTTCCAGCCTCGTTCCCTTGATTAAGAAATAAACAGGAGGAACTTGGCTTCATGACCTAGTTCTGTTATCAGTCAGTATGAGCCTTTCACTTTATTGTTTTCGTTTTGGAATCCTGGGGTCTGAGCCCAGGGCCTTGCACATGCTAAGCAAGTGTTCCACCCAGCCCTCTTCAAACTTCCTTTTTTAAAATTTTGACCGAGTCCAAGTTGTCCAAGCTGACCTTGAACTTGGAATCCTCCTACCTCAGCCTTCTTTGTAGCTGGGATTACAGGCCTGCATCATCATGCCCTGCTACAAGCTCCATTTAAGTAATGGACGCAGGGCCAGCGAGATAGTTCAGTAGGTAAAGGTGCTTGCTGTCATGCCTGATGAAGAGAATTCAATCTCTAAGACCCACACGAGGGAAGAACCGACAGTGATCCCAGCCAAGGTATTAACTGCCATGTGCGCCTTGGCCAGAAGGACTGGGAAAACCCTGCTCCCACCTCCTGTGCTCTCTGTAAGGACTGGGAAAACCCTGCTCCCACCTCCTGTGCTCTCTGTAAGGACTGGGAAAACCCTGCTCCCACCTCCTGTGCTCTCTGTAAGGACTGGGAAAACCCTGCTCCCACCTCCTGTGCTCTCTGTAAGGACTGGGAAGGCCTCCTGCTCCCACCTCCTGTGCTGTAACCTGGATGTACATTTGGTGAAGTGCATGCCTAAGACTGGGCATCAGCCAGTGTCCAGGACCACTCCTGAGTCCTGTGGCCACAGAGCATGGCTTTCTCGTGCCCCTGAAGTACCAGGTCCATGGCCTTAAAGAACAAAGATGCACAGGGGCAACTGACTGGCATAAAGTTCTCAGAGGGCCAGTGCGTTCCCTACAGCTGTCAGTTCTACAAACATCTCCAAAGGCCTGCAAGTCCTGATTTCAAGGAGTTAGACAAATTTCCTTGGTGAGTCTCAATATAGATGCAACCACATTTTTAGGACCCTAAAAGGTATGGTTCAAATTCCCAGGGATCTTCTATAGCCCAGGGGTTTCAGAACACCTCTGCTCATGAATAAGGGTGTCCACTGAGCCCAGGATAGACTTTGCCATGGGCATACAGAGTGGGGCCCACCAGCATGTATGTGGCACAGAATGGAGGGTACAGGTGAAGGCTCACCTTGTCAGGATCCAGGAGGGCATGACAGATGATGTCCTCACAGATGTTGGCCGTTGGGGCCAGGCAGTGTAGTCGGTAGAACAGCTCCACGCAGGTGATGTGATGTTCACGGGTCTCCTTGTTCAGCTGACTCCAAAGCACACGAGCCACCCTCTGCATATGAACACAGGCACCACCTGCTTCTTTGCCCCCCAGGTTAGCTAGTCCCTGCAGGCAGGCTCTTTTATTTACATTTGCTAAGTAAGATTCCTTAACACCCAGACAGAACAAAGCAAATGCCCACAGAAGTCACTCAGGCAACAGTATCACCAGGTTTCTGACCAGCTAGGAAGGGTGTGGCTCTTGCCTCAACCAAAGAATTACTTTCAGGAGGAGACTCAACCAGCGATTAGAGGTGTGCAGCTAAAGCTTTCTTCCGATACTCATGTACCATGCCTCAATCTGTGTAGGCCTTGGGGGAAACACAGTTGCATCCTCCAAGGAGTTTGGTGGGCTGCAGTGGTCACCACGACTGCCCATTCTGCTCTCTGATCAGCCCCTGGGCAGTACTGATGAACAGTTAGACTTGGTATCATTAATTCCAAATCGGTCTGTGCCCTTAAGCTCGCCTCTCTTTCAGTACCATACCCCAAACTGAGATGGTGCTCTCCCATTTCACCTTTGCTTTGGAAACACCTAAAGTCTGCAAGCAGCCTGAGTATATAAGAAAAAAAAAAAATCACAAAGATCCCAAACGGCCCTCCCTGAGAGGCTGGGGCCCACCCTGGCTACCTGTGTGGGTGGCTTGTTCCTCTATATCCAGCAGCTCCAACAGCTGCAGCCACCAATCACAGCAGCTCCAGCTTAACAGTACCCACTCGGGGCTGGTTCAGGACCCTATATGAATCCAGAAACCTCAGGTGCTCAAGCTCTGGTTATAAAGTGGCTCAGCGGTGGAAATGTGTTTAGTATATCCAGGCCCTAGATTTAATTCTTAGTAGAACATTAAAGCAACTCCCCAAGCCAAATATTTGCCAATACCCTCCCCAAATCCACCCAGACTTTCAGCCACAGTTCTATCATTCCCAAAGTCTAGCGCAGTGTAAGTGCTATGTCAACAGCTGTTATGCTGCATGGCTTAGGGAGCAATGGTGGGGTGAAAGGCTTGTAGAAGGTGAGTGCAGGCACTTTTTCCTTTTCCAAATACTTTCAATCTGTGGCTGCAGAACCAGCAGATCTGGAAGGCCTAGCACACAGCAAGTGTACACCAGCACCAGCAGGGGAAGGCACTCAGCCATGTACAGTATCTGAATCAGAGGAAGAGTTACGGCTCTGGAGAGACCTACAAAAACATTCCTCACCTCCCAGAACAAGAAGGAAAATGTTGCTGCTCTAACAGACACCAGATTCCCAGATGAAATTCTTCCCTTGGCCTACAGTGTGATGCCACACCTGAGCTATGCAGGACCCAGGAAAGACCTGCCCAATCACTGTGCCCTGTAGGGTTGACGGTCCTCAGTCCACAGTTCATGGAGTCAAGAGCAACCCTGTGACTCAACTTTGGCAGAAAAGAGACAGGAGGATGTGGCACCCAAGTCAAAGAGCAACTAAATGTGGGCTCTCCAAGGCCTGGCATCTCGGATGGGAACCCACCTCACAACTAAACGTGGGCTCTCTAAGGGCTGGCATCTCAGATGGGAACCCACCTCACACAACCAAGGCTGAGCCAAACAGTAGCATGCACAGCCATGCTGACCCTCACACCATCAACACTACCAGCACTGGTAGAAGTTAGAAAAAAAATAACACCACAACCATTTAAAGCCTTTGGAAATTATCTGAAAGACATGCAAGAAATGAAGAAACATTTCTTCAAATGAAACCAATCAGAAGCAGAGAGAGCCTGTGGAACCTGAGCAAGACCTGCTATCTACTTTCTACCCCAGCTCAGCTTGACATATACCAACTACCCATGTCCACTCTGGGGGAGGGGTGTAAGGTGACGGGGTGCCTCCTTCTTCCCTCTTCTGCATCTCTCTGGGTCATACACCTTCTACTCTCCACTCAGCAAGAACAGTCCAGGTAAGAATGGGGCAGGGGTATGTGTGTATGGGGTGGTGCTGTGGGCTGAGACCTCTACTCAAACACCACTAACACTGGAGGCAGAGCCTCTGCCCAAGCACAGTACTGGGGCCCCAACTGCTCACAGGAGCTTGCATGTAGGGTGAAAGTTACATGTGGAGAGTGGTGCACTTATAAGGCCAGAGGTTACTGTGCTAATTAGCTATGGGGCAGAAGCTGCCAGAGGCTGGGCTCCAGAGACACATCAGCCAGTCTCAGGTCTTAAGCAACCCTCCCATGGCTGCTGGAGTTGCACAGTCCTTGTACAGTCAGTAAGGATATCTTGCACGGAATGGTCTGAGTGAAAAGGCTCACTAAACCCCACCAACCCCCCCACCCCCCATGAGAAATACCTGATAGAAGTCTGTTTTCTCAGCCATGACCTTCAATATCCCTGGGGCAATGGGAGGGACCGTCACCATCTGTAGCTTCCCAAAAAATGGGTTGTGCCCAGAGTTTTTGTAGCGCTTCATCTTGTCTTCAATGACAAGAGCAAGGGACTGGGAATGGTTTATCACTTCCAGTAGGGTGGAGATGGCCACATTCTGCAGGTAGCAGTCAGTCACACAGCAGCAGATGGTCATGAGGGATTTCAGCCACGACGGAAAACTGCAATCACCAGCTCCTGAAAGGAAGCCAGCCAAGTACAGAAAGAAGCAGGTGAGAGTGGTTCCTGTTTATAGAAGTCACAGCACCCAAACCTGGACCTGAGCCACCTGGACAGCAGTGGTGGTGACACTTCCTTGGAAATAGGGTCTTCCTATATATAACCAAGCTAAGATGAGCCCTCACCAGGATGAACCCTTGTTATGGTCTGGATCAGAACCATCTCCACAGACTCGTGTTCTAATATCTGTCTCCAGCTAGTGACACTGCTTTGGAAAGTTTTGAGGCCTGGTAGTTGATGGTGGGTCTCTGGGATGTGGGACTGTGAGGATCAGAGTCTGAACCTGGCTTTGGTGCTATCCTCCCTGCTTCCTGATCTGCCTCATGTTCTCACCACTTCGGATGGAGCTGCCGCAGCTACCATCCTTCCCTACCACCGTAGACTGTATCTCTGAAATTCTGAGCCAAAATAAACCTTTCTTCCCTGAAGTTGCTTCTGTTGGATATTTGGTCACAGTAATGGAAAAAATAACTAACACATCCCTGATCCACTGTGACTGGTGTCTGTATTAAAGATGCCATGTGAAGACAGACACTGGCATGATGCAGGTATATGCCAAAAACTGTTGGCCACCAGCAGGAGCTTGGAAGATACATGGAAAGAGTAGAGTCTCAAACAGACAGAGTGTGGCTCTGCTAACACCTTTCTTTTGTTCATCTGGTCTCTGGAACTATGAGACAATGTGTTTCTGTTGTTTAATCCATCAATCCACTCAGTTTTGTGACAGCAGTTCTAGCAAGCTAATACCTGCCTCTAACAATAGGTGTCAAGAAATGGTGCATTTATGGCTAACTAGGTGCTTTTCCTGTGCCAGATCTTCAGATGGACCAGGCTGTGCTGAGGCTCAAGGTTTATAAATACACCCCCAGACAGTACCAATTTGCTGTGTAACAATGCAAGTCAAAAACATACACAATTCCAAGCCCAGCACCAAGACAACAAAAACCATGTGACTAGTTAGAAAACAAGGAAGGAAATGAATGTGCCAAGACAGCTGGGAATCACTTATCCCAAAGGCTTGGAGACCAGAACTGTTTCTGATCCAGGAGCTTTTCAGATTCTGGAATGTTTACATAGACTGAGTGAGCTTTCCTCATCCCAAATGTTCCATAATCACATGTCAGTGTTCACAAAAGATTTGGATTTCAGAGCATGGGGACTGGGAAGCATCACCTGTACATTCTTCTTGGCAGATACAATTTTAGGTAGTTGAACATCAAGCCTGAGTAACAGGATCCTCAACTACGCACTTTGGCCGCTGTCCTCTCACCTGGTGTCTGGAACAATGCCTGGCACAGCTGCTCAGTCTCCTCCTCAGACAGGTAGACGGGGAAGGTGGCACAGTCCAGCAGCAGGTGACAGGCGGCAGCAAAGGCCTCCCTGCAGTCCTCCTTGGATCCCCTCAAGTCAATGACCACCTGGTCAACATCCCACTCAGTTTCTGCTTTTCTCTGAGGGCTGCTGGGCGCAGATGATGACTCTGAACTTTTTGTCTTGAATGGAGATCCACGCACTGTGAACAAGTCGGAGAGCATCTGCTTAAACTGGGGCACAGTGATGGGCTTGGCCTCCCAGGAGTCCTTCCTGCCAGAATGTGTGGTCACCGCACTCAGGGTCCTGCCCCTGTCATTCTTCCCTGGGGCCTCTTCAGTCTGGCTTTCCTCTCTTGACGCTGTCAGCGCTGCTGAAAAAATATTCTTGCTGGCAAAGTTGGCAATGAGCTCTTGGATGTAAAGAAACGTCCTCTGCATGCTCCCATCCTTCTTCCAAATGTCGTCTCTCTCAGGAGAAACCCGGGGCACCCTCAGGTGCTCCGAGAGCTCGGGGGAGGAGGCGCTGAGCCCAATCCCACTGTCCTCAGACTTCAGCGGGGTGAAGGAAGCCTCTTCTTCATCTGCAACCAAGGCCTTTGTTTCTGAAACAATGTCACTGTTGCCACCTTTCACTGGGCTCTGTCAAAAAATGGGAAAACCCCCATATCAGGCAGAGGTTCAAAGGTCAGTGGAATCAGGCAAACCTTGAATATATTCCAAACCTGTTTCTCCAAATCATGACTCTCTACATGAAGAAAATCCCCCCAGAAGAGTGTAAACCGAAGACAGCAGACAAAGGAGGGGCGGGGCCGGCCAGAGGCTGCCGCCTCTGCACCCACTTGTTTGTAGATGATTCAAGGTTCAAAACAGCCACTTAAAAGTTGCTTCTAGTGCCACATGTGGTGGTGTGTGCCCGAAATCCCAGCACATGGGAGGTGGAGGCAGGAAGAGAGAGAGGTTAAAGCCATCCTGGGTTACACAGCAAGTTTGAGGCCAGCACAGGCTACAGGAGATCCTACTGTAAATACAAACGAACAAACAAACAAACGAACGGACGAATCCCAAAACCAAATCAGAGTTGCTTCGGAGGAACTTAAGCAAATGACTGAGGAAGCTGAGGGTGCAATACAGGCATAAAGAAGTCAAAGATCCCCCTGCCTGGCAGGTGGAGGCAGGAGGACCGGAAGTTCAAGGCTGGCCTCAGATACTCAGCAAGTTCAAGACCAGCCTAGGCAACATGAGACCACGTGTAAAATAATAATAATAATAATAATAATAATAATAACAATGATGAAAAACTGGAGCAAAGGGTATAAAGTTTAAACAAAACACATATTGTACATCTTTAATCTGAAAATTCAGAATCTGAAATGTTGCAAAATCATCATTTTTAAAGTACTAGTGCGATGCTACAAGTCGTGAATTCCACACCTGACCTAATGTGCTATGTCTCAGTCAAAACACAAGAAGGGGCCAGTGAAATGACTCAGCATGTAAGGGCACTTACTGTCAAGCCTGATGACTTGAGTTTGATCCCTTCCACTCACACAGTTGAAGGCCAGAAGTTGTCTTCTGAGGTCTACATGTACACTATAGCACATTCTTGTGCACACACATGCACAAGTAAGTAAATAAATAAATGTAATAAAAATATTTTTAAAGTAACTTCAGGCTATGTGTGTAATGTACGTATGAAACATAAACGAATTTCCTGTATAGATGTGGGTCCCATCTCCATGATGTCCAATGAATATATAAATATTCTAAAAGCTGGAAAAAAAAGCTAAGATCCAAAACACTTCTGGTCCTAAGCACTTTGGATATGGACTACTTAACTAATTTATGCATACGTATATGAAACACATACACAAACATGCGATCTTGTCCAATGTGACGACTTTAGCCATCAAAGGACTCTTTCCTTTTCCTATACTATTTAGACAACATTGCACTAAAGCTGAAACTCTAGCGTTCATCCTCCTGGGGCCTTTTGGAAGAGTCAGAAGGAAGTACGTGAGTTTTAATATATTGTTATTCATATGTGTAAATTACAATGCTTACCCTTTTGTGTTTATTTTTGTTCTTTGGAAACACGGTCTTACTATGTGTCAAGGCTGACCTCAAACTCAAGGCCTTCTTGCCTCAGACGCCTGTGTGTTGAAATTTCAGAGGTGTGCCACCATGCCTGGCTCTTAAGCTTTATATTTTGAATTATTTTCAGGATTTTCTAATAGATAGAACTATTAAAAACAAACAAAAACTAGCTTCTAAACTGGGCAGTCTGTAACTCATTTACCTCTGTGACAAGTCCCCAAACCTCAGTAATTTGGTTTCTCTAGACTCTTGCCTCCTCTACCCCATCGGCCCTCAGTGCTATATGGTCAGGACAGACTTTTGTTTATGTCACCTGATGTGTTTTAACTGTTGCTGCATGGTTACCCCTAGCAACAGTCAAATGCAGGCCAAAAAAGGAAACGTCTTCCTGTAAGAATGGTAAGGAGCGCCAGCTGCCATGTGGGTCTGAACTCTCCTTAGAGCGGTGGCCTTGCTGCTGCCTGTGTCTGTGACACTAACAACTAACTCTTCTAATAACTCTGTCTCAGTGTTCCCTTTGAACTCCAAACCAGAAACTGTTCAGCCAACATCATCTCTTACAGTTTCAAAGGAGCAAATGAGCCTTTCGATTGCACCCCTGATAAGAATTTCTCCTTCAGAGACACGAGCACACGTTACATGAGGATGCTGATTGTAAAACATCAATGGTGAAAAAAGAGTATGAAGAATCTACCATCAGGGAAATAAAGTATAAACCAGAGGGAGGTATGCAGAAAAGAATAGATGCTATTTGAGTGAAAAAGATTTCAAAGTGACCAAACAGTGTAGTTATGGGTGAACTACGGTACCTGAGAACTACGGTGACCTTATTTGGGAAAAGAATCTTTGAAGATGATCAAGTCAAGGTAAAGACAGTCGGGTGGGTCTAAACAAGCTTATGTCTCCAAAAAAAGGGGAATTTGAACACAGACTCGCACCAGCATAGAACACCATGGGCATGTGACTGCAGATGAGGTGGGGATGGAAGTGGGAAGATTTCAACAAGCCAAGAGCACCAAGGACCACTGACAAGCCCAGCAGATGCCTACAAAGGGGCCTGGGATGGAATCTTCATTCACACCACACAGGAGGAGCCAACCCTGCTGACTCACCGACTCCGAACTGCAGGAAAATGGATTTGTTATTTAAGACACCCAGGCTGTAGGGGTTTATTTATTTTTAATTATGTATGTATGTGTGTGTGTCTATGTGTGAATATGTGCATGTGCATGTATATATGCATGCAGGCCCTCAGAGGCCACAGGCTTCAGATCCCCTGGAGTTCTAGGAGGCTGTTAGCCACCCAACATGGGTGCTGGGAACTGAACTCAGGTCCTTTGGAAGGGTCGAAAGAGCTTAACTGCTGAGTCATGTCTCTAGCTCCTGTGGAACTTTCTTACAGTGGCCTTAGCAAGTCAGATCAGGTTATAAATGCCTTGTCTTTTAAATAACTCAGGTCACATGCATACAAATGAACACCAAAAGGTCTGCCTGCAGCTGTCTAGCCATTTGAGGTAGCTCTGTATCACGGGCGTGTGAAATGAAGGGAGGTCCGTTACACTAAACTGTGCAAGTGTATGGACACAGTGTCTACACAACACATCCACATTGCTATCCTAACCACCCCTAATTACCTCCCACTCCTGGAAGGCACTGAGGACACCTCGGTCCTGCGGCACATACCGAGCTTCCACTGGTAGGCTCCGTATCTAGGTAGGAGGGTGGCATCTGGACTTTGCTGAGCACCTTAAAACATGTCTTCAAGGCGTGTGTGAGCTCAGGTAAGCTTAAGGCCTCCACTTCCTCAGCAAGAGGCTGCAGCAGACAGCCCAGCACCTGTGGGAGGTACTGAGTCTGCACCTCAGAGTAGAGCTCCTGCAAAACACAAGCATGAGTCACACACTGCAGGCTTAAAATGGGAAAAGGATGCACTTCAAAACAGCATCTCAGAATAAGCTGGATTTTAGAATCTAAGGTACACATTGATCCCAAATCAGAAAACGAAACAGTATTTCCTTTGACCTGGACAAACCAATGATGTCTTCCTTGCCCTGCTTCACCTTCCTTGAGATAAAATAATAAAACTGCCACGTGCACGTCTATCTTAACTAGCAAATATGTTGACTCTTGTCCCTAAATAGCTGTAATATCACTTCATTATCAGTTTCCATAACTGTAGCTCAGACTATTACTAAAACTGGCCTTTTAACGAAGACAGCAAAAATCTAACAGGTCCAGGAGTGTAGCTTGGTGGCCAATGTGCTTAAAGCAGGCGCAAGGCCAGGGTTCATCCCTAGCATCAAAAAGAAAAGTGAGGCTGTAGTGGGCTGTATGCCATTACCGAACAAACCCAGAAGCAGCATTATGCAGGTGGCAAAGCCATTTTTTGGTAAATCTAGGGTTAAAAAATGGGCCGACAACACTTTTGAGAATGCACCAGCAGCGCCAAGGGCTCTTCCCAGCAGTACCTACCAAGGGAATCACATCCAGGAGGAACACAAGGAGGGTGCAGAGCTCCGAGACTGTGGGGGCAGGGCTGATGGCTGTTCCAATGGTGGTACTCTGCTTCGATGGTCTGTATTAACCAGAGGGAAGAGACTTAATCCTTTCTCTCAGTCACTGCAAACGTCTTTTGTTTCTGCTGTTTGGTTTGTTTTTGACAGGATCTTACTATAGCCTAGGCTGGCTTCAAACCTGTGACCTTCCTGTCTCAGTCTCTCCAAGTACTGGGGTTACAAGTACATGCCATCCTGACTGGCTACAATTTCAAACATCTTACCATTTTCAGTAATTATCCTATTTCACATGCAATGAAAGCAGCTCTTGTAGCTCTAACACCTAAGTTCTGGTGACAGACAGACTGCCTAATGGAGACGAGTGACTAAGTGTCTCGAGTCCGTTCAGATACGGGCGTGGATTCCACATCCAACAGATCCAAAGCAGCTTCTTAGGCACAATCCTATAGTCCTAGGTCCCCAATCCCAAACCCAAAGGTGTGTTTCCAAGGGAATGTTCTGAGCCACAGAACACGGGCCAAAAGACTGTTCAGGTTGCACAGGAGGGGCACAAAGCATCACCAAGACACACCCATGGAGTTCACGAGCACCTGAACTTCTGAGTCTTCAGTTTCTACAGAAGTACAATTCTCTGATCAAACCTAATGCTAACTACTAATCTACTGAAATCCAATGTTTGTTTTTAAATAAGCAGATATAAATAGCTATTAGAAAGTACCATGGGGCCAGAGAGATGGGCTAGAGCACTTGCTACTCTTCCAGAGGAGCAGTCACTACCACCTAGAGCTCCAGCTTTAGTGGAACTGATGCTCTTTCCTGGCTTTCAAGGACACATGCACTCACATGGCGCGTGCACACACATACTGTGGACCCTCTGCAGCCACGGATTCCATATTTCTGAATTGAACCATACCCTGAGGGAAAAAAATCACATGTATAGGCCATGTAAAACCTTTTTCCATCTATATACAATACTGTGTACAATTATTTACACAGCACTGGATATTATACATAACCTACAGATGGTTTAAAGTTGATGGGAGGATGTGCATATGTTATACAGAAATATGGGACTGGAGCATTAATGGATTCTGCTATCTGAGGGGTCCTGGACCCAATTTGCCATGAGTATTGAGGGACAACTATATATTATTTCTCAAAACAGAGCAACCTGGAATTCATTTAGCTGCCTTCACACAATTCAACTGGAGTTAGTTTTCTTTCTTGTAATTGGCACTTAGTTATCCTAGACAGAGTGAATTAATCTTAGAGACAGAACTCTTTTCCCTTTTTTGTGACAGGATCTCACGTAGCCCTCAAACTCACTATGTAACTGAGGATAAGCTTGAACTCCTGATCCTCCTCCTTCCACCTTCCCAATACCGGAATTATGGGGGTGTGCCATCATGCTTGGCTTAAACAGAATTCTTTTAAAGGGCTACACACTGATCCCAGTGACTCTACTTGTGTCTGACAACAGCTGAGCACATGGGCAGAGAGGGCAAAGATGTTCAGCACAGTATTAGTCACACAATGAAAAGATTCAAACTGGGTCATTTATACACAGGGACTGTTGTATTTAGGATAAGTGAACTGGATGGGTGATATGACATCTTAAAAGGGCTGCTATATTGGTTTTTGTTGTTGTTGTTGTTGTAGCTATGGAAGTATCTGAGAGAAACAATTTAAACAAGGAAGGATTTGTTTTAGCTCGGGGTTTCAGAGATTAGTCCACAGTCCCTTAGGCCCACTGCATTGAGCTTGAGGTAAGGCAGAATCTCATTTTGGCAAGAACAAGAGGCCATTCACCTCATGAGAAGGAACCAGTTATAAGTAAGCCCCCAGTGACCTCCCTCCTCCAGCAAGGCCCCACCTCCTAACTAACATCCCTCGTCCCAAACAGCTCCAGCAGCTGGGAATCAATCATCCCACACCTGAATAGTGGGGGACATTTCAGGTTCAAGCTGTTGCAACTGTTAACCTCTAAACACTACCTTATAGAATGTGGTGTGCAGTGTGGAATCACTTATGTGGAATTTCAATAGGCAACAAAGCCTATAACTTATGGATATTCAGTGTTACAATGACATCCCAACATATTCTAATTTCAGGACAGGATAATTAGCTCCAAGATGAAAGGAGGAAGACATTTTGGGAAGGTGTAATGTTAGGTCTATCTGGCCAGTGACATTTTATTCTTTTAAAAAATAACCAAGGGCTCAATGGGTAAATGCACTTGCTGTGCAATTGTGATGATCTGAATTCAAATCTTCAGAAAGATATAAAAGCCACTACAGAAGCATGCCTATATAATCCCAGTGCTCCTACACAGGAGAATCTCTGCAGTTCACGGGCCACTTAGCCTGGCAGAACAGCAGCAAACAAAAGAAGAGAACCAGGTAGAAGGTGGGGACTGACAACTGAGGGTGACCTCTGACCTCCACACTTGCACCATGGCATGAGCATGCCTGCGAGCGCTCTTGCGCTCGCTCGCTCTCTCTCTCTCTCTCTCTCTCTCTCTCTCTCTCTCTCTCTCTGATAAAACAGCTGGCTGGTGACACAGGCCTATAATCCTAGCTATCCAGGAGGCTAAAGCAGGGGAATGGGAAGGTCAGGGCCAACCTATGCTACAGAGTAAATTCCAGACAAGCCTGGACAACTCGGTGAAAAGCTGTCTTGAAATAGAAGGTAAAACAAGGGCTAGGGTTGTGGTTTGGTGGTAAGTACTTGCTTAGTATGCACAAGGCCTTGAATTTGACCCTTAACACTAAGAAAAGAAGGGGAAGGGGAAGGGGGAGGGGGAGGGGGAGGGAGAAAATCAAGCTGACCACAGCACACTCTACCCTTACTGTCGCTCCTCTGCTGGCTGACAGTGGACACAGTGACAAATTCTTTCGACACAGGGGACGGGTGGGGGTCATTTGGGCCTGTTGTCAGGGAGGCAGAGGAACATCAAAGTAGTGGCTGGGAAGTCAGACTCCAAAGTCAGGCACAGCTGGGTTCTGATTCTGTCTGCTATGGATCTGCTGTGCAATGCTGGACAAGGCCCTTCCTGTCTGTGGACCTTAGTTTTCTCACATGCCAAAACACGGAAGCATAAGGCTACCCAAAGAGTTGCGGTCAACCACAGGGCACACACAATGTTTACATGGGAGGTTTCAATTCTGGCCACCAAGCTCCAGAACAGAGAGGAGCCCACACAGGACCGTGGGGACTAACAAGGTTATACAGTGAACCTCTCAGGACAAAACAGAGTTTGAGAGGCTGCATTCTTCTCCCTGTTAAGAAAGCAGCCTGGGAAAGGCTCTGAGTCCAGGAGCTCCACAAAACACTCTGAGGCTGTGCGATTCACCACCAGATCAACAGCGGCACAAAGCTGATTACGGTAGCTTAAGATGTGAATGCTTTTATCTGACCCATTATACACTAATTTCAGCAAGAATTTAAGAAGATTGGAGCACTCAAACACAGACGGTCTAGCACCAGAGACACAACCTAAGCTCCATGAAGCAGACTGGGCTTTCAGAGCAGCTCAGATGAATGCAACTAGCACACGTGCAGAGGGCTTTCTAAAGTTAAGACTTGAATAATAAAGCAGTCTGGGAGTCTGTGATGAAGTTCTTCATTCTCCTAAAATCCTGTATCAATTCCTTCCAGTCCTGTTTCCACTGAACTCTGATGCTCGAGAGACTACCCAGCTTCATACTTAAAGGAATCCAGCCCCCCACACAACGAAGAGCCATCCACCTGCTCATCCTTCCCACGCAGCCTACACTTACCGAAAGCACTCCTCGAAACACCGCGCCATATAATCCCAGAGAAAGTCTGTGCTGAGGGCTGAGACCAGCAGATTCACTGTCTTAACGATCTCGGAGGCGTTTCTGTTTTCTTTGATTGTACTGCAAAAGACAGGAGCAAATAAGTACACTGAAAAAGACTCGGTTTGCGAGAATGAGGTGTCTAAAGGCGCACACTTCACTGTTTCCAACCCCTGACAAACTCTGATGATGATAAAGGTATCACCGTTTTAAGTACAGGACAGTTTCCACAATCCCATCCTATACAATACCTTTTAAAGTATTTTTATTTATTCTTTGACAAGTTCGTCCATCCATACAATGTATTGTGACCAACCAAGTCCACCCAGGTCCCCACTTACTCCCTGAAACATGCGCCCCTCCTACCTTCATGCCCCCATTTTTATAAAAATAACTCTTTGAGTCCAATGGTTTAATTAGAGCTGCATGCATGAGCACCAGCAACCTACCAGCTGCCACACCCCCAAGGAAAACGACTTCCCCGTTTAACAGTGTGTGTTTTAGTTTTTTGAGACAGGGTCTTTTTTTTAAAAAAAAATTATTTTTGTTTTATGTGTATGAGTGTATTGCCTGCATGTGTGTAAATACACCCATCTCATGCAATACCTGCAGAGGTCAGAAGAGGGTGTCAGATCCCCTGGAACTGGAGTTACAGATGGTTGTTAGCCATGTGGGTGCTGGGACTCAATCCCAGGTCCTCTGCAAGAACATTCAGTGCTCTCAACCACTGAGCCATGTCTCCAGCCTCAGCAGATAGGGTCTTTCACTATGTAGCCTTGGTAGACTTTGAACATGCTATGTAGATCACACTGGCCTTGAACTCACAGAGAACTGCTTGCCTCTGCCTCCTGAGTGCTGGGGTTAAAGGTAGGCACCACCACATCCAGCCATAAACACTGTTTTCTATTTTTATTTTTATTGATGTACACTCTTAGAAATAAATGTAAGGGTTACTGTGAAAAAAATCTGACATTAAGCACCAGTGCTGCTTCCATTCCAGATAATTACGACCCTCTCTATAGAATTGGAGAGGTGGCTCAGTGGTTAAGTGCACTTATTGCTTTTCCAGAGGACTCAAGTTTGGTTCCCAGCACCCACATGAGGTGGCTTGCAAGTACCTGTAACTCCAGTTCCAGGGGATCAAATACCCTCTTGTAGTCTCCTTAGCTACCTGCATAACCATAAAAAAATGGATTATCTTTGTCAGGTGTGGTGGTGGTGCACATCTTTAATTCCAGCACTCAGGAGGAGGAAGAGGCAGGTGAGTCCTTGTGAGTTTCAGGACAACCTGGTCTACACAGTCAGTTTCAGGCCAGTCAGGGGTCCATGATAAGACCCTGTCTCAAAAACAAAGAAAGAAAGAAAAATACTGTGGTAGAATACGATGGTATAGCTGTTCAGCAGGGAAATAAACTCCGCTCTATCCTTTTATCTATCTGTCCATCCATCCATCTACTGATTGTGGTACTGGAAACCAAGGCTTTGTACATGTCAGGCAAGCGCTCTACCACTGACCTACATCCTCATCCTTGTCTAAAATGTCAAATGTACATGTTCTGTAAGTGCACTGTAGGGCACCCTACAGAAATCCTGACACAAGTACACAAAGATATATACAGAAGGATAGTATCACATGGCCATTTAAACATATGGAAAAAGTGGAAACCACCCGATGGGTAATCAGTAAGAGACTGGCCATTGCATCAAGATTTATTAAGAAAGGGACAGATCCCTGAGGGGGAACTGAGGCAACTATCACTCCACAGAGAACAGTAGACAGCTATCCACAAGCTCCATTTAAAGAAACCAGGCAACTAAACAGATAGAATTCATCTACAGGGTGGAAGGAAGGATCTGTATATTTGAGAACGTAGAAGAGCTCTGGAAGAGGTAAAATCTCCATCTCTTTAAAGAGGAGTAGGATTATGGGTAGCATCTTGGTTGCTGTCATAAATATCAGTCTATTCTACAACAAACATGTACTGCTTGCATATTCAGAAGAAAAAAACTTATGGGGGGGGGAACCAACCCAGAATCCTCAGGAGATTTACAATAAATAAACTAGAAAATTGAGAGAAACAGCTTTTCAAAATACCCGATGCCAATCCAGGCAGAAGGCAGCTGCACTAACAGTGAACTCTGAGGTTGGATCACTCACTCATTTATTCACACAAAGTCTCATATGGTCCAGGCTGACCTCAAACTCACTATGTGGCCAAGGATGACCTTGAACTACACATTTTAAGTTAACGTGCCTGCTGGCTCCCAAATATACCCACTGAGAACTTGGACCCTGCCCTCAGCATCCTGCCTTGGTTTCTACTCCACCTCTGATGACCTCTGACCCCTCTTCCTGAACTTTCTCCTTGTCTTCCCTCCCTCCCCTCACCCTGGGCCTCACTACTTGTGATCAAGTTGCCTTTGTCAGATGACCTTAGTGCTTAATCAATAAACATGGTCTGCACACCCACTATCTGGACTAGAGAACAGATTAGACTCTTACCCTTTTTGAATGACTCGGGAGGGAGCAGCCAATGAGAGTTTCAAGCTGTCCACCCTCTCTAGCATTTCATGATTCACAATAAAGAACAGAGAAAAACACATCATGGTACCAGGAAGAGGAAGATAATGAACTCAGACAGTGTGCTCTTACCTTATCAGCAGATTTCCACTCTGAGTGTAGCTAAGTTTAAGGTCAGAGCCAAGGACATCTCTACAGTAAGAATAAAAGGCCCTGATGACTTCCAGAAATAAATTCTCAACCACTTGAGGCCCTGAAATAAAAAAGAAAAATAGTTACCGAAGGACTACCAATACATTTGAAAATGTTTTTGTTTTGAGACAGTCTCTGGCTTCCAAACTCTACGTAGCTGCGGATGCCCATAAACTTCTAACTCTCCTGTCTCCACCTCCTGAGTGCTGGGATTACAGACTTTTGCCACCAGTTTATGCAGTCGTAAGAACTGAACCTGTGGCTTCCTGCATATTGGGCAAACAGTTTACCAATTGAGCTATATCCCCAGCCCCTGACAATCCTTTTTAAACAGATTTTATTTGCATTTTATGTGTATCAGAGTTTGTCTGCATGTATGTAAGTGTACCACATGTATGCTTGGTGCCCATGGAGGCCAGGAAAGGGCACTAAATTCCCCGGAATTTGAATTACAGATGGTTAGCCACCATGTGGGTGCTGGGAATGAACCCAGGTCCTCTGCAAGAGCAGTCAGTGCTCTTAACTGCCGAGTCATCTCCCTAACAATCCATTTCTAAATCAATATAAGACGCATAATACATAGAGCCAGAAAAGCTCTATCAATCCTGAAAAGCCCACAGAGAGGCCCAGAGAAACCGTACACACTGCGTGTCAGAGCGGCTTCCTGGCCAGCTGGGCAGTGCCCCGGGCAGGGGGTTTCTCCTGCGCAGCCAGCACTCGCAGCTGGGGCGCGGACTTATCAAATGCACATCCAGAGGATGAAAGCACCTCAATTACAGGAAAGGAAAGCTCTGCCAAAAACTTTGTGTAAAGCAATCCATAGATTAATTAATCTATGGATTTTTTTCAGTGCGAAAACTGAGCCCGGACCTTACGCATGCACAAAAGCAAACAGTCCACCACCGAGCTATACTCCACGCCCTACATCAACCTAACCTTTCATGCTTTTCACAAAATCAATGTGCCTCTGAGAAAACTATTTTACTTTTATTGCAATTGTATGTGTGAGTGCCTACATGTATGTATATGCCCTTCAGAAGGGCACTGGATTCCCTGAAACTGGAGTTATAAGGAGTCGTAAGTCACCCAATGTGAGTGCTGGGAACCAAACTCATGCTCTCTGCAAAAGCATCAAGGTCTCTTAACTGCTGAACTATCTTTCCAACCCTAAAAACAATTTTCATAAGCCTCAGGTGTATTTTTATTTTTGTTTTTTTTTTTTTTTTTTTTTTTTTTTTTTTGTGTTTTTTTTTTTTTTTTTTCGGAGTTGAGGACTGAACTCAGGGCCTTGCGCTTAGCTAGGCAAGAGCTCTACCACTGAGATAAATCCCCAACCCTTAGCCTCAGGTGTATTTTATCTATAGCAGAAAATGCCAAATACTTCTAACCAAAGGCAGTTTTGTTGCCTTGTTTATGGAGCAGAAAAAAAGACATGGCTAAAAAACAGCTGCTAAAAGAAAGGACAGGACCAAGAGGCTGTCCTGTGCTTCTGGTTCTGAATAATCCACTCCTCTGCCATCTGAGCATGTGTTCCTCAGACAACGGAGCCAGCAGGAGGAGCAGATTTAACAACTGTTAGGATTGGACAGAAGGCAAGCATTCATCTTCTTCCAGAAATTACGACCTGGAGTCCAGCTTGGCTCATCACTGACCGCTTTGATAGAAAACACACGTCTCCAAAATGCTGAGTCTTGCTTTCTTCTTTGAATACCTCCCCAAATTATACAGCAAGCTGCAAACATGTTAATAAACCCTGATTCACTTCTTAGGCTAAAACACAACAGTCAGAAATGCAGTAACTTCTACACATAGAAAAATCTATTTTGTGCCATTGTTGCTGGATGGAGGTAGGAAGCGGAGGGAAGAGAAGAGAGGTCCAGCACAGGACAGGAACTCTGAGGCAGCACTTAACAAGCAGCATTAGAAAAACAAAGGCTTCACACTGTAGTTTGGTTAAAGGAGCAGGGGATGCACAGCCTGGTGGTAAAGTTCCTAATTATTACACAAAGAACCACCTCAGGGTGGCTGTTCTCTGTGTCATCAGGCCAGCACCAATGTCTTGGAAAAGAAAGCTTAGGCCCTGGGTGGCCTTGGGGCAAACGATGTACCCCTGGACTCTCCCTCTATAAGGTGTGAATCGCCTCACCTCAGTGTAGTTGGAGATGTGGAGACACAGTATGCACATCACCTGGCACGAAATAACTGCTTAAAAAGGTGTCAGCCATTGTTATTAAAAAGCTACAGGCAGGTGTAGTAGCATTAGTCTATAATCCCACTCATGAGGCAGAGGCAGGAGACCATGACATGAGCTCAAGGTCAGCCTGGACTATACAGCAAGATCCAGGTCAGCCTATACTATATGGCCAGACCCTGAGCGTCTGAGAAAACTATTTGAGGCCTTGGTATGTGGTTTGAAGAACTGGCATGCATGCCAGACGCACAAATGAACAAACGACCAGCGGAAACATCCCAAGACCTGGGGCGTCCCTTTCATCTAACTAGATGAGGAACCTCTGTGCCCTTCTGTGGTCCTAGAGCTCACAACGTCGCTGCCACACAACAGATGCTCCATGCTGGACTCTGAATGAACACCCAAAAGGCTTCAGGCCCAAAGCAGAAAGAGAGGCACTGCAAACTCCAAGCTCCCTGTTCTGAGCACCTCCAATCCTTGAGGTTGTATATACCTCAACCTCTTAGACAATACCCTCTTGCAGTGCAATGGGGGGAAGAGGACATGAGGACCTCTGTACACTGGGCTCAAGTGACCAGATGTCAGATCTGCCAGTAAAGTGTAGAGAATTGTAAAAAAATTATTATTATTATTTTTTGTGTGTGTATGCATGTATTGCCTGCATGTAGGTAAGTGCACTTGTGCCATGCAATGCCTGCAGAGGACAGAAGAGGTTGTCAGATCCCTTAGAAATGGAGTTATAGACAGTTGTTAGCTGCCATGTGGGTGCTGGAATTTGAACCGGGGTCTTCTGCAAGAACAGTCAGTGTTCTTAAGCACTGAGCCATCTCTCCAGCCCCAGTGTATAGAATTTTTTAAGCGAGAGAGAGGAGGTCGCTTTTTCTCAACTGGTTTTCCACAGGGCTGCAGCATGTAAGAGGGGTCCTCTGGGAAGCAGAGTCTAGTTCAACCTTTTCCATCCCAGTGAAATGTTCTTATTTTACACAAAGTGGCTTGCTCATGTTCACAAAGCAAGGATTTGGGGGATGGGGGATGGGGGATGGGGTCCTTTACCAGTTATAAAACCAAAGCTCATTAGAGGTATGATGATGCGATGAAGAAACATTCTCACAAAGTGCAAAGTGTAGGTGCTCCACAGGCAAACACACACGTACTCACACTCACACATGAAACTTACACATATGCATATACACATATGCATGACAGTAGCTTGCAGGCATTTTCCTAACAAAATCACTCAATTTATTGTGCAAAATAGGAGCACTGAAACATATGCATTCAAGATCTTGAAATTCCAAAAATTATAGTCAAAATAATATGATGACTGTATTTGTGTTTACATTCCTAAAAACAGGTGATCTACATCCGGCCACCTGCAGCCTTTCTCATGTTACCTATTTCTGGCTTGTCCAGCAGGCTGACAAGGATGCGAAAAGGCTTCAGGTAGGCATGGTGGCGCTCTTCCATGTCAGCATCGGAGAACTTCTGATGCAGTATCTCAGCCAGCGCCTATTTGTTTAAAGAGCCACACATCAGGACACTATGTCTATGGTAGAGTACAGCATTAGTGGTTGTTCTAATCATTAGAAACCCTGGGAAAGAATGAGAATCAGTCCCTTAGTCACAACACATGCACACCAGCTCTTCAAACCACATACTAAGGACCATACTCAATGTCTGCTTTGAGGTCTCACACAGAAATGCACTGAAGAAATGATAAGGGGCTGGAGATGTGGCTCAGCTGGTATGGTGCTTGCCTGGAGTCCTGGGTTCAATCCCACAGAAGCCAGGTGTGATGGCTCACACCTGCAGCCTCAGCATTCAGGAAGTGGAGGCAGAAGGACTGAAAATCAAGATTGTTCTAAGCTACACAATGAGTTCGAGGCCCTTTTGGGATACATGAGACCCTGTCATAAGAAAAAGGGGGCGGCTAGAAAAATAGCTCAGCGGTTAAGAGCACTGAAGGCTGTTGCAGAGGACCAGGGTTTGATGCCCAGCACCCACATGGCAGCTCAAAACCATCTGTAACTCCAGTTCCAGGGGATCCAACTCCCTCTTCTGACTTCCTCGGGCATTGTGCAACACAGGTGCACTTACACACATGCAGACAATACACTCATACACATAAAATAAAAATAAAATACTGAGAGAGACGGAGACAGAGAGAGCAATGAAGAGCGTCCTGACAGCAGTCAACTTTGCAGCAATGTGCTTACCCCAACTAAAAGATCCTTGGAGTATTTCTCAAAAAAATATGAGGATTGGTCTTCGTAAGAATTTGAAATTTCAGATTCGGGCACAATGGTGTTTCCTTTAATGTCTGAACCTATAAAAGAACAAACACCACTACCTCACTGTAAAGGGATCTTAGTATTTTACAGGACAGCACGCTGTGCAAAAGCCTCATGCTCCAATATTTCAACATACATAATTCCTTCAACAAAGGCAAAGTCAGATCTAGTCACTTTTTTCCTTCTTTTTTTCTTTTTAAACAGTGCTGGGGATAGATCTCAGAACAGTACACATGCCAGGCAAGGGTCACACACTGACCTCCCCTCAACCTCCACATCTTCTAACAGTGATGTGGCCAAGGACCAGACAGGCAGAATTCCATCTCAGTGGGCATCTTCTGCAGAAGGACTACAAGGACTGGAACAGAATCATTTCAAATCAGGGTTTGTGTGTCCAGCACTATGTGAAATCAAGTTACACACATGCGCGCGCGCACACACACAAACTACATTCCTTCATTTTGGTCCCCGGATCAGTCTGTGGGGTCTTCAGGGCAAGGGAGAACATCCTCTTGGTACAAAGAAAGACTTGGGGTTCCCATGTCACAGCTAAGTGAGGCCTGGGATTTGTTCTCTACATAGAACACCACCATTTCCTAACAGACCTCAGCACCTCCCCAAATCATCCTTTTCTTTAAAAATTCCCAGAGGGCTGGGGATGCATAAAGCCTGGGTTCAATCCCCAGCACTGTATATACTGGGCATGATGGTGCACATCTGGAATCCCTGTACTTGGGAGGGGGTGGCAGGTGGATCAGAAGTTCAAAGTCATCCTTGGTTACAGAGTAAGTTTAAAGCCAGCCTAAGATGATTGAGATCTTGTCTTTAAAAAAAAAGAAAAAATCCTCCAGGAGCCTATACTTATTTTTCTTAAAATCCTTAATAAACTTCCTTGCGCTACTTTTGAAGTTTTACAAGTAGGTAGAAATAAAGAAAAATTGAAGAGGACTTCCTGACGTTGGTGTGGTAAGATCCACACACCGAAGGTTAAGAAAAGCTATGGAGGGCTGGGGACGTGGTTCAGTGGTAGAGCACTGAACATGCTTTGAAGCACGATGTTCCATCCCCAGCACACAGAAGGAAGGAAAGGGAGCGAACAAACAGAAGGGTGGGTGGGCAGGAAGGAGGAAAGAGACGTGAGCTACAGAATTCTTTCACAATTCCTCTGTACACCACTTTTTTAAAAAGCATACAGGAATGTGGGAAATTATACATAAAAATACTTTCTTCTAGTCCTCTTCCTGGGCTCTGCCCCTGGGAACCTTCCAACCAACAGTCAAGAGCTCATAGCCTACAGGATTGCAGGCTGTCCACAGACACAGGCTCTTACACAGAAAGGCAGTGCACAGGTAATCATGGTCTTGTTATCCAAATCTCCCGAGCTGCTCCTTTCTTTCTGTGTACTGGAGTTTTCCCCACACATTCCTATCTTGTGCAACCTCTCTACAGAACCTTCAGAGCAGGCTTCTGCTGCTTTTCAGCACTGAGGACTGGCCCCACACTTCATGCTTGCCTAGCAAGCCCCCTACTGGGCTACACTCCGGACGCCACCCTCTTTTGAGATGTGGTCTCACTATGTGGCCTTGGCTAGTCTTGAACTCACAGAGATCTGCCTGCCTCTGCCTCCTGAATACTGGGATTAAAGGTCATCATGGCCGGCAACCCAGCCTTTTCTCGATTTTTATTTTGTATCTTATTTTGAGATGGGGTCTTGCTATGTAGCCCTGACTAGCCTCAAAATCGTGACCTTCCTGCCTTGGCCTATAGTCCTGGGATTAGACATGTGTGCCACACCAGGCTTCTCGTTAACTAATCATTAAATGAATTAATGACTTAGCTGCAAACTTTTGGTGTGGCATTTCAAGCTCTTAAAAAGGGAACTCAGCCATCATTTTAAATCCCACTTATTTCTCTTTTTGAAAAGAAAAAAAAAGGCTGCAAACAACCCCAGCTTGTGTAGGAAGCAGACCTCAACTGACCAGGGTGGTATTAGTCACTGTGGCATCTCTCCACACTTGATGACTCAGAACATCGCTAACATCAGAGCTCATTCCACAAACCAGCACTGCAAGGCTTCGGGTTCAAGTACTCAACTCAGTACCTAGCAGCCAGGCATACAGTCTTCGGTTGAGAGACATGTCCCTCCTCAGCAGGGTCTGGGTGGCCGCAGAAAGAATGTGTACGATGTCGGGTCTGAGCAGGGGGATGGTTCTGTCATCAGGATCCTATCAGAAGGACAGAGGAGGCTTTACCACAAGGGAGCTGTAAACAGACTGCAGTCCGACATGTACTTTAAGTGTCTACCCCCGAAAGGTAGTGCTCAGGAGGCTGTTTCCACACCTCTATAGAAAGAGGGTCGGCATCTGCTACTGTGTAGTTATATCCTCAGCACTGACAGCCTATCCTGCAGAGAGGCTACTAAGACTCAGAAGAGGCAACATAGGCAGCTCAGGAAAGTCACAAGACTCACAAAGCCATGCCCCAAGGTTTTATAACCCTTAGTAATTGTTGAGGGGACACTCTTCTATGGAGGTGCCTGCAAGTTGTGCAGGAGGGTTCAGGGGTGCAGTGTCGCGTTTCAGCCAAGCTGGGGTAGGGCATTCTACGATAATGATGCAGCTGCCTGAGTCACCCATGCTCCTGTAAGTGACCCCAGTAAAATCACTGGTTCACCAAGCTAGGCCTAGGTGGCACCCTTTCTTTGGTCTGTCATAGGTGCGCTATCTGGGGTGAAGATATTTGTATGTGTCTCCCCATGAGAGCCACACAGCACCTGCTGTCGAAACAGCGTTTCCACAACATGAACAAGGCCGAGGGATGAAGGGAGTGGTGATCACCAAGTGGCTGAGTGCTCCTAAGACACAACTGCTGCAGATCCAAGCTTCCGTCTATCACCTCTGGAAGAACACGGGACTCACCAGACAGGTATAAAACGGGAAGAAAAACAGAACGATTTCCAGATTATTTCTTTGCACAAGAACATTGGTATCCAGCAGCGATGCGCACAGTGACTTCACCTGCAAATGACAATCACAAATGACAATCACAGCAGTTGTCCAAAGACATGTAATAATACCGTTTGCGGCTACACTGTTCAGTCACAAAAATGAAGTGCTTTCCTAGGAATCTTCATACCACCTCAGACCGCATGTAAGAGGACAAGCTGTAGATCAGGACAGCAGGGCTTCAAGCTCTAGGGACCAGCATGGGGGAACACACAGCTGTGGATCTCACCTGCTCCATCTGTAAGCTGGAGGGAAACGGACCACATGCCCAGTTCTAGAAAGCAAACTCTGAGATCCCAGGCAGGATCTCATAGGGGCCTTGGGTTAAAGTAAGACACATGGTCCATTGGATTCCCAGATAAGGCAGTGCCTCCTCTGAGGATGGTTTCTGAACACAGAAAGGGAGGGTATGGCCACATCCTGGCTACAAGCCTGGGATGACAAAGGCTTATGTAAAGCTGGAAGGAGTGTGAGGGAGGCAAAGCCCTTTCAAGTGGGGAGAACACTGAAACTCTGTGTTTAGCTGAGCTTGGAGGACAGGAAGCAGGCACACTGAGACCTGCTCGGGAGAGAGCTGGCCAGGGGGAGGACACAGCTCACAGCCTGTGCCAGGCCTGGCAGGCAGCTGGGTGGGGTGCAGAGCCTGAGGGAGAAGCAGGTGCACAATCAGCTGGGACTAGCAAGATCAACTTGAAAACTCCCCAGTTGGGATGGTCTCTACAAGCCACGTTATCACAAAAGCAAAAACCAGCTATGAGCAAAGCTGCACCTCACACAAGCAATCTCTTAGCAATCGATAGACTAGATGGGTCAGAAAGTGATGTGTTGGCTCAAGGGAAACACACAAGTTTAAACAGGGCCTCAAGGAGACAGCAAAGGGTAATACACCTGTGGGGCAGGAAAGGCAGTGATATACACATTCCAATCGCCACCTGAAGGGCTCTCCATCAATTTCATCACTTAATCCTCTGAAAGAGCCTGTGAGAGAGATCCCCACTCTACAATAAGAAATTTATACTAAGCTACAGAGATTGTAACCCATTCATTCAATCTGGTCATGTTAAGTCCAAGTGTGGGTTCACCAGCAGGCAAAATGGACAGCATGCCATTAGACAGAGGGTACACATGGGGAAAAGACAAAGACCTGATCTTTGGAGATGCTTCCATTTCCAAGTTCCTGAGAAGAGGTGGGGTGGACAGGGAAGGGCCTGGGGATGGACAGCTGGGGAACCCTGACATTCAGGTATAAGAGCAGCCAAAGTGGACCAGGGCAGAAAGAACAAGGCAGAGTCACAAGTGACAGAGCAGGAAGAGGAGACAGGTCAACGTGAGGGGCAAGGGAGTGACACAGGGCAAGGGGGCGGGGGAGGGGATGAGATTAAAGGTTCAGAGGCACAGGCTGCCAGCCTTGCAGAGCAGTCATGAGATGAGGAGTCAGGCTGCCATCACCGGGCTCCTTGGGTGTGGGCAACTTACTAGACACATACATCTCAATGCATGGGTTAAGACTCGGTCACCCCATCCTTGACTACATAATGCCAGCATGGCCACCACCTCATCTCACTTGACACTGGCCGTCACTAGCTCTGTCTTAGAATGTCTCCATTCCCTCCCCTCCTGCCGTCCCTTGTCAGGCTCAGTGACAACCTGCAACAGAGGCCATGCCCACCCGTCCCCTCTGGGGGGGCAAAGTACCTACCGTGAGCTGGTAGTCAGTGCCCAACATGTACTTCTGCTCCTTGCCTGGTGAATCTCTGTTGATGTGGCTCACCACAAACAGTGAGGCGGGGAGGCGGATGGAGGGGTTGGCCAGGATGCTTCCCCACAGGGCAGCGTAGAACACCTCCCGGCCCACGACCAGAGATAGTCTCAGGAGCAGGGCGTCAGTTCTGTTGGTAAGAAATGAAGATTTCAGGGTGTCCCTCACCTTCTGCTTTCATGAGTGGGTTCCATGTGTGGGTTCACCCCTGGCCATCTTCACCCCATCTTCTTCATTGCTCTGAGCTACATGTCACCTCTGTTCCTGCTGTGCTTCCCACCCACCAGCTGTCATGCTGAATCCAGACTCGCTAACACAAATGTGCAACTGCCTAGCCAATAGGCAACATCTAACCAGTCACAGTGGTAATACAGACTGATTCCAACCCTGGCTTTACTGTGGATACTGTGGTACTCAAGGGAGGGGCATTGCCACTGTCACAAACTTTATAATGAAAACAAAAGTCATCATCCACATGTCAGAAAACAAAATAGAAAGTCCTGGGGTGACTGGATTAAGACTCAGCAACTGTAAAGATGCCCCTGACCTGGGCATAGCCAGATGTATCAGGTGACACTGGGCTTCAGAACTCTGACCCAGCCTCCACTACCCTCCAACTTCCATATAGCTGGTGCCCTGTGATTTCTGCATCTGCCAACTGCCCCCAGCACACGGACTTGCTTGGAGAAGCTCGTGTCAAAGTTGACAGTTATTTGCCTCTTTTTAGTATAGCTGTATCTTTTTTTTAAAAAAAAATGTTTTATTTTAGGTGCATGAGTGTATTGCTTGTGTGCACCCATGTCGAGCACAGCCCATGGAGGTCAGAAGACTGCTTCAGACCCCCTGGAACTGGAGTCGCAGACAGTTGTTAACCACCATGTAGGTGCTGGGAATCAAACCTGGGTCCTCTGCAAGAGCAGTCAGTGCTCTTAACCACTGAACCATCTCTCCAGCCCCATAGCTATATCTTTTTAAGATTCATTTATATTTATGTGTATGTCTGTGTGCCTGTGCAGGTGTCCAGAGGCTAGAAGAGGGCATCACACCCCCTGGAGTTGGAGTTACAGGTAGTTGTGAGCCACCTTATAGGTGTTAGGAACCATTTCCAGTCCCCTGAAAAAGGAGTAAGCACCCTGAAGTGCTGAACCGCCTCTCCAGCCCCATATAGCTTTCATTTAATGTATGTACTTGCATGTGAACCACAGTGCTCATAAGGAGTCAGAGGACAACTTGCAAGAGTTGGTTCTTTCCTCCCACAATGTGGGTCCCAGTGACTGAACTCGGGTTGTCAGGCTTGGCAGATGCCCTTACCTGCTGAGCCATTTTGCCAGCCAACAACCCCTCCCCCCAACTTCTTTTTTTTTTTTTTTTTTTTTTTTTCAGACAGGGTTTCTCTGTAGTCTAGCCTGCCCTGGAACTCACTATGTAGCCCAAGATTGTGGCAATCCTCCTGCCTCAGCATTCTGAGTGCTGGGATCACAGGTGTCAGTCACCATGCCTGCCTCACCTCTGATTTTTGTCAAGCCTCCCATGATGCAGAGTCAGCAGCACATGATCAGGGTCCTGTCAGTGGATCAGGGCCTGTTTTTCCATGGACACTGAGGCTGGGCTGTGCTCTGTGGTGCACCTGGAGCTGACTGAGGTGCCATGCGAGTCATCACTTAACACCACCTGCGGGCTGGTGACAGCCTGCTAGTGACCCTGCAGAGGGATCTCACCTCAGGAATGAGCTGACTCACCACCTGCAAGGATTCCACTTCTCATTTCTACTTGCAGAGAAGTCAGGAGGAAAAATGGCAGCACTGGCTGAGCAATGCGGCATCCGGTGGGCTTCTCAGCTCAGCCCTCCTCCTGGAACAGGTTTGATCTCAGAGGACGTCCACGCTCAGCCAGGGGACAGAGCAAAGAGTCTCTGCCCCATGAGTGGAATGAGTGTCTGTGCACGCACTCAGTGCAGAGAATGGGGTGGACTGCACTGCCCATGGCCGCCACTACCTCTCCTGTTTCTCAATGGTCCCTAGCAACAGGTGAGTGTGATATACTGAGAAGCCCTGCCAGATGAACGCCAGCCCTCCCTTTTATGATAACCCAACTGCCTTCAGCTTACCCTTTATCAGTTCAATGTATATAAATACTTCATGCAAAATGCATACTACTTTATGTATTAAAGATACATTTTGTTTTCCTTAAAAATGAGTCTGGGTGGTTAATACAGAAACTTTCAATTGGTCAAAGTGTAGAGAACAAAGACTGTGGAGTGCTGGAGCCCGGATGGGACATCTACATCACTCCTCCCCACAAGGTCCAGAGGACAGAGTGCAGGAGGGTGGAGAGCATGTAAGAGACAGAGGCCGAGAGGAAACGCTGAGGAACAGCGTCTTCTGGATGTGGCACAGCTGATGAACTCATGAACTCTCCGCAGCCATGGTCTCCTGCATGAGGCTGCACAAGATGGGGCTCCATCAACATCTCATCACGGGAGGGGAGGCCACAGATTGGAAGCTAATGGTGGCTGGGGAAAGGGTGTCACACTCCTCAGTGGTGTGGTGACTGAGAAGTTGCCATGCTCCAGTAAGTAACCTCCCACCCACCCTCATGCAAGTAACCCTGTTTAAATGCAGTGGATCACACACAGATGTGAGAGTAAGGGGGACTTGCTGGGAAGAACAGTGTCAGTGGGAGGGGGAGGGGATAGGACAGGCTCACGGGGGCGGAGGTGAAAAAGACTAAAATTTCACTACGTGTACGTGTGAACCTGCCAAAGAATAATAAACAACATTTTAAAAAACGAGTCTAGCTTGGGTTGGCGATTTAGCTCAGTGGTAGAGCGCTTGCCTAGCAAACGCAAGGCCCTGGGTTTGGTCCTCAGCTCCAGAAAAAAAAAAAGATAAAATAATAAAAAATGAGTCTGTCTCATATAATATTTGTGGGAAATGATGTGCAGGATCATCTCAGAAGAAACGGATGAAGTCACGCTGAAGGCTCAGGAAAAGTACACAGAAGGATTTTGTGACTGAAATCATTGGTTGGTCTTCTATTAAAAGGGGAGCAGGGCTGAAGAGATGGCTCAGTGGTTAAGAACACTGGCTGTTCTTGCAGAAGACCTGGGTTCAAATCCTAGCACCCACATGGCAGCTAACAACTGTCTGTAACTCCAGTTCCAGGGGATGCGACGGCTTCTTCTGTCCTCTATGGGCATTGCATGACAGGGGTGCACTTACCTACATGCAGGCAATACATGCATACACATTAAATAATAAATAAAATTAAAAAAAACAAAAACCAAAACGAATAAATCAGGACTTCTCAACCTATCACCACTGACACTTGGGGCCAACTCTGTTACAGGAGTAGCTGCAGGCCTCACAGAACACTTGCAGCACCTTAGGCCTCTGCCCACTGTTAACCAGCAGCAGCCCACCCAACCCCTACCCCCAACCAGAACATTTCCAGATACTGCCTAACATTCCCTGGTGGGGAGAGCAGTATCACTCCAGGGGTGAAGTCCTGTTGATTCTGCTGTTGGTTTGAGACAGTCTCACTATGTAGCCCAGGCTGTCCTTGAACTCATGGTCATCCTCCTGTCTCTGTCTCCTGAATGCTGAGATAACATAGGTGTACCATGGACTTTTAAAAAACTCGTTTTTAAAATGTATTTATTTTATGTGTATGAGTGTTTTACATGCATGGAAGTGCACCTACGTCATGCAATGCCTGTGGAGGCCAGAGAGGGCATTGTATCCCCTGGAACTGGAGTTACAGACAGTTGTTAGTCACCATGTGGGTGCTATGAACAGAACCCAGATCCTCTGCAAGAGCAGCCAGCACTCTTAACCACTGAGCCATCTCTCCAGCCCTTACCTTTGGATTTTTGAGGCAGGGTCTCACTATATAGCCAAGGTTGGCCTGGAAACTGCTAGGTAGTTCAGGCTGCTCCTGCCTTGGCTTCCTTAGTGCTGAGATTTACAGGTGTGTGACTGCACCAGGCCCCTAGTCTTTGCTTTCTAGCAGTCATTTAAAGCTTTTCTCTCCCTCATCCTATAAAACAGTTTAGTTAGCATTTTCTCCCTTCCAAACTTTGTTTTCTTAGTGCAGCAAAGCACAGCTACATAGCGATGGGTCATTTACAAAGAGATTTTTGGGCCAGGAATAGATACTAAGCAGGCCTCAAAGGGTTAGAAAGCCAGAGTGAATAGTAGCGCCACACACTGGTCAAAATTCCCATTTGTTAGGGTTCACTGAGAAGTGCAAACCAGGAAGTCTCTGCCCATATGAAACTCCAGCCTTGTTAGCTGGGCCCAGCTTACCTCTTTGCAATGTCTCCTAACATGAACACTGAGACCCTGGCACCCTCCTTTTCCTGTCTTCCTAAGAAATATGGGGAAGAGCCACCAAACTGTCTCAGACTAAAATGGAAACAGCAGCAAAACAATCTCGTGCTGTCAACTCACTTTGCGCCTCTAACGCACACTCAGAGCTTCCATAACCCTTGACCAGCATCTACCTCAGAAAAGTGGATAATCACTTCTGGGTGTGGCAGACACTGGGCTCGGTTTTCAGTGAGAGCTAAATCTATTCAGTGATTCATGCAGCCCAGACCTTAGTTCAATGTCAAGAAATCACAGGGGAAAGCTACCAGTGTTAAACAACATTAACAACTGTTCAAATGAAATCTCATTTATCAACCAAGAGAACAAACAAAAACACTCCAACTAGTTGACTAACATGTTTCTGGTGTGAGTAACCCCGATTTAAAAGACAGCAAAATAAATTTGGGGAACTTATGTTTTTGCGTGTTAGATGATATAAAATTCACATATGTATATAGCAACACATACACGCACACACATTCTTGTTATCAGGACACGAAGACAGCAGAACTTGTAGAGGGAACCTGGTAATGGTTCTGCTGCCTCCTGTGTGGCCGTGACTGATCAGTAACTTGACACACTCCCAAGTCTTGCCATGTGCTAGCCACCATGTATGGTGCTAGACTCGAAATGGCAACAAGACAGATCCTCTCTCTACAGATGCTATCCTGGTTGGTTTTCACTGTCACCTTGACACAACCTAGAGCCACCTGGGAAACGGGAACCTCAAATGAAGAACTTCCTTAATCAGATTGGCCTGTGGGCATGTCTGTGAGGAATGGTCTTGACTGATAACTGATGTGGGGGGGCCCCACCACTGCCCACTGTAGAGGGCACCGTCCTTATGCAGGTGGGCCTGGGCTGCACATGAAAGCTAGCTGACCATGAGCCGGAGAGGCAGCCAGTAAGCAGTGTTCCTCCATGGATTTTCCTTCAGTTCCTGCTGGAGCTCCTGCCCTGATCTCCGTCAACGACAGACTGTGACCTGGACGTGTAAGATGAAATAAACCCTGTCCTCCCCAAGTTGCTTTGGTCAAGATGTTTAGCACAGCAACAGACAGCAAGCTAGACCATATGTAACCGTAATGGTAGGTTCTCCACTGGGAAATGGAAAGCCATGACCATCTATGTGAAAGCCTGAAGTGTTCCAAGTGCAAATCTCTGGTGAGGTTTGTCAAATCCAGGTAGAGATGCAGACGAAATGCAGCCTTGTCACCACTGTTGGCCACAACACTACAAGGGCAGATGGGATCCCCTTCCTGATTCTATATCAGGCACTGCCCTCCCACAGGTAAAGGTGGTATAGCTGAGGCTGGGAAAGGGGTGCAGGCAGTGCACAGTGCCATTACATGGGCATGTTTTTAAGCACAGTCAGCAGTCACTTCAGATGGACCATAAAACAGGCCCTATCACCAGCTGCAACATCTCCCAGAATAGTCAACACTGACAGGGGTTCTTTATGATTCTCAAAGAAAGGACACTATGCACCACAATGGTATCAATGAGCACACACTTTCTCCCACTTCTAAGCTGTCACCAAAACCCTCTGGGAACTTTTTTGTGCATAGGAGCTTTAAGAGTATCTTAAGAGGTTTGGGGCTGGAGAGATGGCTCACTGGTTAAGAGCACTGGCTGCTCTTGCAGAGGACTCGGGTTCAATTCCAAGCACCCACAAGGGGGCTAACAACTGTCCATAACTCCAATTCCAGGGGATCTGATGCCCTCTTCTGGACTCCTAGGCATTGCACACCTGGTGTACTTACATACATCCAGCCAAAACAGTCATACACAAAAAATAAAAATAAATATTTTTTTAAAAAAAAGAGTATCTTAAGGTTCTGCTGGAATTTGTGGAGATGGTCACTTCAGGTAGGTGTGGTGGTGTATGCTTGTGATCTTAGCACTTGGAAGGCTGAGGCAGGAGGCCTGCAGTCAGACACCAGTTAGTTAGGGCTACATAATATAGGAAGACCCTGTCTTAAAAAGAGGAGGAGGCCAGGCATGGTGGCGCACACCTAATCCTAGCACTCAGGAGGCAGAGGCAGAGGCAGGCAGATCTCTGTGAGTTTGAGACCAGCTGGGGCTACAGAGAGACCCTGTCTCAAAAAGACCAAAAAAAAAAAAAAAAAAAAAAGAGGAAGAGGAGGAGGAAGAAGAGCGAGAAAGGGATCCTACTTTGCATCACATTCATTCATCTTCCCAAGTCCTGAATGTTTAAGAGTCTGGTTTTATCTTTTTATTTAGAAGCTGACGAAGAAAGGCTTTGGAATATGACCCACGTGGGTTCTAATCCTAGCTCTGCCTCTCTGTGGTGGCACTGAGAAACCTCTCATCTTCTCATCCTCACCTGAGAATGGAGGCAATTCTTGGAGTTCAGGAACTCATGTGAAAAGTAGTAGAACATACACTGCAGGTGCCTAGCAAGTGGCTGACTCCTCCATCAGAGGAGACTGAGTGTGTGTGTTGTCCCCTTCCCACAAATCATGGCCACATGGACAAGTTCCTAACAGGACTGGGCATAATGGGAATCCTGCACTATGGCCTCCCTTACTAACTACGATTCTTCAAGGTAAAGGGTGCCATCTCTCCAGTGTTGGGACTTCTCCTCTGATAAACAGATCCAGTGAGGCTCTTGGGAGACCACAGAGAAATGTGAATCATTCCGACCCCTCTGCCCCTTCCAGTCCCACCACGTGCATCTTGGTGCTTTTTTCTTACAATGAATGGAAAACCCCAGCCTGCACAGGTAAAGCCAGTACCCGAGACACGATGTCCACCAACCTGTCATAGATCTCGGAGCCCTCCTCCAGGCCCGGTAGCAGGCCCACAAGGAAGGCTTGGAGACTGGGCAGAAGCAGCTTCTGCAGTGGGAGGAAGTACTTCTCATACAGGCCAAGCAGCACGGGCCTCACCGACATGGCGGCGTTCGCCAGGAGGGGAAACAAGCCGCAGCTTTGAGGAAGGAAGGAATGGGTAAGACAGCAATCAGATATTTTATCACAGGTTCCAGGGGTCAGCCAGGAGACGAGAGCTTTGCAGTTTGGTTTTGTTTACTTTTAGGTGCTGGGGATGAAACTCGGGGTCTTGCACATGCTAGGCAAAAACTGAGCCCCGCCTTAGCCATGGAAGGAAATTTTAAAGAGCAATGAGCCATCCATTTGAACAGATGACAGAAGTATGTTTGACACAAGATGGTCACATGACACCCATTAAGTAAAGAGCTGGTAACTGCAGCTTCAGAGATGGCTCAGCGTTTAAGAGCACTGACTGACTTGTAGAGGACCTGGATCTGGTTACCAGCACCCACACAGCAACTCACAACCACCTGTAACTCCAGTTCCAGGGGATCAGATGCCCTCTTCTGGCGGCTATAGATTTGTATACATGTGGTACACTTACATACACACAGGCAAAACACTCATACACATAAAATTTAAAAAAAAAAAAATTTAAATAAGTTGTATATACACTCAGGTTCTCCTTACACACTGCAGAGCCTGGAGGCAGGTGTTTTTGAAGGTGACCCACACTATCTCCTGGCGATGACTTTTTAACTAACTGCTGTGTATTTCCGTGCTTCATGCTTATTTTGCTTGTCATTTCCTTTAAAAATTTTTTTTTTAAGGCAGGGTATCATGTTGCTAAAGATGACCTTAATTTCTGATCTTCCACTAACCCAGTGCTAAGATAATGGGAGTGTGCCACCACACCTGGCTTATGTGGTGTCAGCGATCAAACCCACGGCCTTTGCATGCTGGGCAAGCAAAGCACTCTACCAACTGAGGTATGTGCCTGGCCCCTCCATTGTCATTCTCCAATGTGCAAACTGAAATGTGGTTTGCTTGGGTAATAAAAGCACTACAGTGGGTGCACTGGCCTGAATTAGAAATGCCCCCATAGGCTCACATATTTGAACAGTTGACCCTAGTTGGTGGTGCTGTTTGGGGAGTTTAGGTGTCCTTGCTGGAGGTACCACACCCCTGGGGACAGGCTTTGAGAGTTCATAGCTTTGCCCAATTCCCAGTCTGTTTCTCTGTTCCCTGTGCCTACTTGAAGATGTGAGCTCTCTCTCAGCTTTCTGCTCCAGCTGCCTCCTACCGTGCCTCCCCTCCATGATGGACTCATCCCTCTGGAACTGTAATAAACTCTTCCTTCTATAAGTTGCCTTGGTTGTGGTGTTTTTGTCACAGCAAGAGAAAAGTAACACAGCAGGGAGCAGTCGTACCTGTACAAGAACAAGTCCTTGGCCAGCCATTTAGTCCCCACAATTTTAAAGATAATCTCGTAGGTTTCTAGGGCTTTTAGGTGCACACCGCTAGGCAGGGCAGGATGCAAACACTGAGCTAGCCTCTTGCTGATGATGAGCCGTCTTGGCAGCAGGGAATACTTCAGGTTGCTCTGGAGAGCCTGTGAGAAGGAAAAGCAAGTGAGAGGCAGCTGTGACATTCACAAAGGAAAGTGAATCCATGGAGGCCAGAAGAGCAGTTGGGGCTGTGGGAGAAGACTTACAGGATGAGGGGCTGAGGGACTGTGTGCAGAGGGTCCTAAGCCAGGCTCTCTGCGGCATGGCGGCTGGAGGAGCCCCTGCTAATGGTGGAAGGCAGGCAGACACTACCATCCAAACATCCTCTTGGTGACAGCTTAGAACACACAGATGGGGCAGCATGTACCCCTACCTCAGGAAACCAGCAGTCTCTACATGAGATGAAGGACATGGGCTGTAACTGACATAGAGAAGGGACCTACTGTGTGAGGGTAAAGGCCTGGGTCTTTGCTTGGGGACAGAATGGGCTCTTACTTATCTAACCATTCTCCCAGCTCAGTTTTCTAGCCATGTATTTTGGGGTGAGGCTCACCACGAAGGGAGGGCAGTTTCTGGCATCTCTACCACTTGAGGAGTATGCTGGGAGAATCAGGAAAAAGGCACTGCCACCCTGTTGGGATGTGGAATAACAGTGTCCCCAGGCAGGGCACAGGACCATCCTGTGTGAGGGCACTCTTTGGTACTTGCTGTAGTCAGGCTTCTCTTGAGCTAGAATCTGGCTGAGTGCTGGAGTATTTACCCAGCATATTCAAGGTCCTGGATTCCATCCCTAGTGCTGAAAAGCAAAATAAAGACCCTGCTCTTCATGGCACTGAGGAGCTAGAAGCAGTGCCATGGTTAGGAGGGTCCTAGTGTGTCTTCTAACACACTATCTGACATGTGCATCAACCCACATCCTTAGCTCACAGGCAAACATGAATCTTTCCTGCCGGCATACAGGGTAAACCCAGGCCTCCTGAGAGTTGCTCAAAAGCCTCTAACATGGCTAGAGTCTGCTTCGCCTACCCCATTTCCTTTTTCTTTTCTTTCTGTGTGTACATGTGAGGGGGATATGGGCATGTACCTATGTGCACATGTGTGTGGAGATCGGGGGGCCGATGTCAGGCATTTTCTTCAATCACACCATACCTTATTTATTTATTTTTCCATTTATTTACTTAGTCTATACGGGTCCATGTGCCAAAATGTGTGTGTGGAGGTCAGAGGAGAAGTTGCAAGTCAGTTCTTTCCATCCACCTTGCAGGTTCCAGGAATCAAACAGAGGCCAAATGCACTTTACCCACTGAGCTATCTCGCCAGTCCTGCACCTTATTTTTGAGACGGGTTCTCACCATATCTGGAGCTTATGAATTCCCTAGGCTGATTAGCCAGCAAGCCCCAGGGATTGCCCATTTCCACCTCCCCAGCACTGGGATTACAGGTGTATGCTGCTGCAGCAGCTGCTGCTGCTGATTATCATGGACTCTGAGAGAGAAACCCAGGTCCTCATGCTTGCATTGTGAGCACTTTATTGATGGAGCCGCTTCCCCAGCCTATATCCCATTTCTTTAAGATTTATTTATTTTTTAACTGTGTGGGTCTGTGTGTGCAGGTGCCCAGAGGCCAAAAGAGAGCACGGGATCCTCTGGAGCTAGAGATGTAGGCAGCTGGCAGCCACCTGACTTGAGTGGTAGGAACCAAACTCGGGTCCTCCACAAGAGTAATGCCAGCTCTTAACCATCCAGCCATCCTCCAGCCCCCACGTCCCCATTTCTTAATACCCTGCTAAATTTAACTTGTCATAACTCAGAACAGCCTGTGTTTCCGGCCTGGGCTTCACTTCCGCTCACCCCAGCACTCCTCTATCCCTGGCTCACATGGGATTTAGTGTCCCAGTGTCCACTCTCGGGGGGCAAAGAGGTCCCCAGACAGGACATCTCCTCATCGCTTATCTATCTCTGCTCTCTTCAGCACTTCACACAGTGCCTGAAACAAAATGGGTGGCCAGGAACCTTTGCGGTACCAGCTGCACCCATGACCAGGTCAGAATGGCTGGCCCCAGGCCATATGCCCTAAGGGTCATGACAGCTTTCTGCTTATGAACAAAGACACAACTTTCACTTCTAAAACCCAGGTTAGGTAGGAAGGGAAAGAGAAGGAAAATAGTATTCTCCATCAGGGGTATGTGGTCTCCATGAGCTCTCAACTTTAGTGAAGCTACATCTTTAAGAAAAATTAGATAAAACTAGAGACCATCAAGAAGTACTCTTAAAGGGCTGGGGATGTGCCTCAGTTGGGGAGTGCTTGCCTAGCATGCACAAAGACCTGGGTTCTGTCCCCAGCAATACGTGTACCAGGCATGATGGCACATGCCTGTAATCCCAGCACTCAGCAGGTAGAGAAGGGAGGTCAGAAGTTCAAGATAATCCTAGGCCACATAGAGAGTTCAAGGCCAGGCTGGGCTACATGAGAACCCATCTCAAGAAAAAGAAAAGCATCTTAAAAGACTCTTATTCATGGAGGGTCTAATATTCCCAAACAAAGGGAAGTCCAACAAAATAACTTAAATCATGTGTAAAAAATGAGGCGGCCACTTAAATCATAAAGTACAACAGCGGATGGGAACAAACCGATAGATGCAGCAGATACGAAGTGAGCATGGGCGCTGAAGAGGACACGGCACATTTTATACTGGACGCTTCGAAACACAGAAGAGCACACAGAAAAGCCAGGTGAGCACCCTGCTCTGCAGTACCAACTGCTGGCCAGTCCTGCAGCCAGAGTGCTTAGACAATTTCTGTAACACTAGTGGCTCACTGAGAATGGGTAATAGGACCCACCTGGGTCCCTGGAAAACATCTAGAGACAGAAGCTACCTGCTGATCCAGTAAGCCAGGAATAAAGCACACTGCAAGTCACTAGGGCTTGGAGCCTGCCTGTTGTCACAGTACAACCTTCTCTATCTTGACTGACTTATCTCACAGAAATGCAATCATAACCATTCCCTAATCCACAGGGATCATACACAATACTGATCCCTGTATATGCCATGCTTTTGCCTACACATACATCATCACTGGATAAAGTTTACCTTTGTAAAGAAACAAAAACCCTGACGACGAAACAGAACAATGCTATCCTGCAATAAAAAAATAACATTAAGGCAGGGCATGGTGGCACAGACCTTTAATCCCAGTAGTGGCAGAGGCAGATGGATCTTTGTGAGTTCAAGGCCAGCCTGGTCTACATAGCAAGTTCCAGGCCAGCAGGGGTTACAGGGATACCCTGTTTCAAAAAGACCCCAAAAAGGGGGCTGGAGAGATGGCTAATTGGTTAAGAGCACTGATTGCTCTTGCAGAGGACCGGGGTTTGATTCCCAGCACCCACGTGGCGGCTCTGTGGCGGCTCTGAACCGTCCAGTTCCAGGGGAATCTGACACCCTCTTCTGACCTCCGCAGCAATGCACAACATGGGTCCACTTACATACATGCAAGCGATACACTCATACACACAAAATAAAAATAATAAATAAAATATATTTTTTAAAAAGACCAAAAAATGGTGGGGGTGACTCCAGGGGTATGGGGTCTCAGCTACTCTGAGGGCTAATGTAGGAGACTGCTTGAGCCCAGAAGTTGGAGGCTCTGAAGACAACACAAAACACTATCCCAAAGAAAGGGAGGGTTAAAGTAGCAACATTTATTTTATGTTTATACTGCAACAGTTGAAAAAAGATCTTGCACATGTCTATTATCAGCTAAAGCTGCATGAACCATGGATTGGAATTCACGTGCTCACCAATCCTTACTGTATTGCAGACTCCTGACCAAAGAACAAGCAGACGTGTTTCAGCAACCCCACAGAGACCTGTGGACATCACCCAGATGCTCCTGAGGGTCAGTGCCCAGCTCAATCACTACCTTTCAGAGCTTCCACGTGCCTGCAACCTCCTCAGGCTGTGTGTGCACACATGCGGCCTTGCTCAAACTCCTAGGGGTCTGTATTCTTAGACAGCCGCTCTCGGTGCCTCCTCCTTTCTTTCGTGTTTAGTTTTGGGAGACACAGTTTTGCTGTGTAGGCCAGGGCTGGCCTCAAATTCAGCAGCTCTCCAGCCTCCCTCAGCTTTCTGAATGCTGGGACTACATGTGTGTGTCACCCTGCCTAGCTAGCATCTTCGCCAGAGCTCTGGCCAGTAACACAGCCCAGCTTCCATCTGCACGTGGCTGCCATTACAACCCACCAAACCCAGCTGTAAAGCTGTGACAATACGAAGCTTGTGGATACTAAGGAGGAAGACCCCAGGGTGAAGTTCTCCTGCCTCCCGTGCAGCAGAACAAGCCGCCTCCTGCCCTCACATCCAGTCTTTTTCTCCCTTGGGCTAAAACAGGCCCCAGAGCTGGGGCTTCCCAGACTTTCCCTCATCTTTATCCCTCTTGCTCAGAGTGCTGCCCCAGCTGGCATCCTGCCCAGCTGGGAGGACCGCCTTCACTCTGTCTTTCTCTTTCTAGCTTCCATCTGAGAATTTTGCTGTGGTAACAACTTTCTCTAGTGAGAAAAGCTTAGTAAATACTCCTAGAGGGTTCACAGTTTGGGTGAATTTTTTTACCCCCAGGAAACTGGAAACTCAGATCGGTTGCTAAGAAGCCTAGCATATATAGCATACACACACACACACACACACACACACACACACGTATATGCATACATACATATGTATGTGTGTGTTTTACTAGAAATACAAACAGCTCAGCAAAGCAGAGGAACTGAAAAAAAAAAACAACTTACCATGTTTTCAAAATCACGTTTTAGTGTGCTTTATGAATAGGAAAAAAACGTGATTAGGCAGGAAATCGAACTTCCTTATTTATTTCACTCAGGAACTATATTATTCTAAAAGCATTCCTGGAACTATAATTAGGACATAATTATAATATTTTTGACTTCATTACATTCATAGGCCCAGCAGGTTGACCTTCAGAAGGTACTACGGACCTAGGAACTGTGTGCTACAGTACCTGCTTAGCATTCACAAGGCCTCGGTTGGATCCTCAGTTCCCAAAATAAAGAAAGAATAAAACAAGAATAAAATGTATGTTTGAAAAAA